GACGTGTTCTCTTATTATGCAGTAGTGATTACGCCAATGCCGCTTCTCCCTCCCATTGTGAACAAAAACGTCTTGTCTTGTTGCCGTTTCTGTTTGTATATAGGGCCTAATCAGAATTTAGTTTCACCAGCCACGGCTCTTTACTTAAAGGTGTCATCGTTCTGCAAGGGCGGATCCAGGGGGGGGGGGGCCAAAGGGGGCCATGGCCCCCCCCCCCCCCAAACGAAACCAATTTTTTTTTTTTATGTAACATCGCAATAAAGGCAGGCAATGAGTACACCACCATCTTTTCCTCAAAAAAACATTGGTTTAAAGTGGTCAGAAATTGCCTCAGATCGCACCACAGAGCATCTAGAATCCAAAAAAAATTTCGGGGCCCTTAAGCGGGCCCCGAACCCCACGCCGTAATTTTGTTGACCCACTTTTTGGGGGGACCAAATTTTTTTTGGCCCCCCCTAAAATTGTGTTCTGGATCCGCCCTTGTCGTTCTGAAATCGCCGAAATGTTTGTGTTGAAGATTGTAAGCTTATATCCTATTTCAAAGGTTTGGTTGAAAGGAAACTAACCTAATGTCGCACTGTTCCTGAGCAAAGACAAACAACAAATCCCAGTTGTTTTAATACTTAATTCTGAAGCGGCGGAAATTGTTGTGACATACAAAGACGTATTTTCAGCTGTAAATATTAGTGTCCTTCTTTGAATTTCCCCCCAGCTTTCTTCTGTGTCCATAATGTCAGACCATAGAGCATGGTCAGATGATCGATGTACGTTACACTCAGTGTGTGTGTAAACATTACATGTTGTTTACCGCACGTCCGCAGCATGCGATGCACTGGTGGAACATGTGCGACTGAAATCACGACTACCACCCAAACAGCTCGATTTTTGAGAGTTACAAAATTTTGACCTTCAAAATTCGTTCTCGCAAGAATAATACAAAAAACGGCAATTTTTGAAAGGATGGTTATGTGGACGTTTATATTCTTCTTTGTAAATGTTGTTTCCAATTAATATCATTTCATGTAAACGCCTTAAAGGGCGCTTGCTCATTTATAATTTCACCCATGGGCTTCGTAAATAACAGCAACTGCCTTATCGATAAAAAAAACACTGGTCATAATTGCGGGTAATTGGATGTAATTGGTTGGCTATTGTTTGCTTGGCAACGGCTGCTGCATCGTACCGGAATGGAATGGACGAATATTGTCATTTTGCTCACGACTATAATTGACATTTCTCGACGGCAGGTCGGTTCCGAGCAGCCGCCTATTAAGCGAGTTGATGGTAATTGCTCATAACTGCTACGGACGTCACCGGAATCAAAACAAATGACGACATATAAAATTCCCTTGCATTATATTCAGATATTAATATTAATATTCAAACGAGCTTCCATCCATCTCAACGAAATGAGTCTGACATCGCCGGCTATTTTGGGAGTGAAAAGCCCTCAACCTCACTCATTGGAAAAATTATAATGTTTTAATACGATATCCAACTTAAAAGCAAAAGAAAAAAACCCCATGAAAATCAATAAAACTGCTGCAAACTGCTTTCTGACTGGCTTGACCTGAAATATACAAATCCAAGAATTAAGACGGCCGCCTGACGCTGCGATCTTAACAAGATCCTTAAGAGGCAAAATGACAATGGTGCAAGAAACAAACTAGGGACTCACAAGCAGGCAGGGTTAGAAGGAGAAACACAGAAGAGGCATTAATGGGGGACAGACCAATGGGGGTGAAAATCAAAGGGAATGGAGTATGGAGAACAAAGGACGGATACAATTATTGGGGACAGACAAAGAATTATTAATTAGGGGACAGACCAGTGGTAAGAACGAACAAATCCTCACCGTTTTCGCGAAGGCGCGAATTTCATGAAAACAAATCGTATGTTTATCGATATTTGTTTTTTGGTGAAAGAGTTAAATATATCAATATCTACAACCTGGTGAGGTTATATACTATCAAAAAATTAATTAGAATATCAATTAACCTAATTAACGAATGGCCAAATTTCCTTAACAAGTGCCGTTTTGCGAAGAAGTAGACTTTTGTTTCGTTTAAATATAGTTTTATTATTTCAAAACGTTTATTATTCGACTTCATTGTTTCTAATATTTAAATTACGCGATTAATATTGATTAAGTGCTCTTAATTTGTTTAATTTCGTCTTTTGTCGGACAATTTAATATGCGGTTCAAGCAAACTCAAACACTGAGTACGCGACACGTTTTTGTCCCGGAGAATGTCGTCTCTTCCATGCCAAACCTTGTTATTCAGAAGTCAAATTCGTCTATAATAATTATTGATTGATTAAGACGAATCCGATCTCTGAATGCTGCCATTTGGCCACAGCTTGGACGAATTCGATATGTGATAACGAATATTCTCAACCTGGTGACTAAAGAGGATGACCAAGCTTTGTAAATCACTAAATAAAGCGAATGAAATTTTTCGAGGACGAAATTTAATGATAGAGTTGTTGAATAAAAAATCTTTAAAATAGCAGGGGAAACCTATTGCCTTGTCGATCTTGTGAATTTCGAAGGTAAAAAAAATAGAGGCTAAAAAAGCACAAAAAGTTATGTGCTGACCAAGCATTCAGGGACCGGATGAGCCATCGCAATAAACCCATGCCGACCCTTATAGGACTCTTCTGGGATCTCGGAGGTCCCGGCCCACACACTTCTTTCCCTGTCCATCCATATAATCCGAGGGCCAGGCACCATATGTAAAAGCAAAGAGCTAAGGGAGGAACAAGGCGGCACCCTAAGCCCTGATCCGCCGAGTGGACCACATGCCCTGAACCTGTACGAAGATGCACAACCTGGATTTCGCAGACAGTTCGTGTTCAGCTGAGTGTTCCCCAACGTGGCGCACTTGAATAAATCTTGGAAAAACTTCCAAATTAACATTTAAGAATTTCTGTAAAGTTGATCAATTCTGATAAACATTTATTATCTCTAATTACATACCCAACTAGAAGTTTGTCAGCAAATTATTTTCTAGTTTTGGGGGACATTTTCAAAGGGTTCACTGTGCACTTCGAAATAAAATCGGAAAATCACGCCGAAATAAACTTGTGATTTATGAACGGAAGTGTTTAGAACTTGATGACATTTCACTTTTTGTGAAATTTCAGTTAAAACTTTTGCTCTAGCTAGGCGCGCGCCACAGGCAAAAAATCAAAGTGCGCCACGTTGGGGGCCACGTTAGGGTACATCAATAGTATACGTAGTTCATATACATCTATGCCTACATGCTGTACAGCGTCATCAGTTGGTGAAATTCGGAGCGAGACCCTAAAACATTATCGGCACACTCTCGCAAAAGGTGGTTCGGCCAGCTTTCTATACAAAACCTCATTGGATCGTGGTTTTGTGCGTAAACCTTATCAGTCAGCCGATCACGCTCAAGTCCCATCATAAAGAATAAGTTAACCGGACCATTTTTAGTGGTTTCTAATGTGGATCCATGCAACAGAGTCCAACTTGGCGTTATTTACCAGTACCCAACAGAAGCCGACTTTGAATGTTTTCAGTTGCCTGCCGAGTACAACATATTGCAATCAGAAACATAGGAAATATGTACATTATTTTGTACCAGGGGTTTACTGCTCAATCCAACAGGCTCCAACGGGTAAATGGTATAGCTGGATCCTGTTGGATTCAGCAGGTTTAGGGTTAAAGTTTCATAACCGTTCAATTTTTCACTTTTATCAAATAGACATGTCGTGTTTTTAAAATAAACTCTTCAAATATTCATTATATAAAATCATGGCATTATGAAGAGAAGAAAATAAAATGTCGAGTGTGTAAATGTTCATACGAGGAATAATTTGATAATTTGAAAGCTACTATAAAATGGACTTGGAACGGGCGAAAAATGAATTATCACATTTCCCCCCATTTGCGGGATTTAAATAACAACCCATAACCTATAAATTGGAAAATCTGATGATTTCCTTTCCGATCCTCCGTTTATCTATTTATTAATTCATTTATTACATTTCTTTACCAAGGGTACGCCTAAACAGTTTGAAACAGGTTTCCATTGGGGCCATGCATTAATTTTCTTAAATAACTTTAATACTCAAACTAAAATTACAAGGACAAGTGCACATGTGAAACAGACAAATACTTACAAACACGAATTTTTTACCAATTTTTTTTACTCAAATAAAGCTTGTAAAAAAATGCATGTTAAACATTCCAGTATAAGGCACGAATTGCTGATTACGGGATGGGCAAAAACCCCGCGAAAACTCATTTGAAAAAAAAACACGGGGAAATTCCCGATCATCCGGCTCCAAATTTCCGTGCATGGCAACCAAGTTTATAACTCCGTAGATCAGCGCATTTTTGAACTAGTGTGATATTGACAGAAATATCACCGATGACTAAGGCCAAAAAAAAAAGAAAAGTACTCGGTCTCTGGTCAGCGCGCGCGTCGATTTTAGTCATGCGCGTCAACCTTTTTTTATATTCAAATTAACACGGAAGCCACAACAACGCCCTCTACTGCCGCACCTTCTCAAATTTTTGTACCAAGGAGCACCAAGGAATGGGGAAATTGCACCAAGGCAAATGATAAAGGGCACCAAGGCAAATTATGGAGGACACCAATGTATAATGAGGACACAAAAAAGCAAAATAGTACCCACCTTGTCTGTACAATTCAAGCTTGAAAAAAAAACCCACAAACCCCCCCCCCCCCAAAAAAAAAACCCCGCGTCGCCGCATCAATTCCGGAACTTTGGTCTGACCAGAGACCGATTATTATTGTTTTTTTGGCCTAATACGTTGAACAAGGGATACAAGATGGTAGATCACTAGCATAAATAATGAATAAAAGTGGACATAAGATCGACCCATAGCCTACGGAACACTAACGTTTTTAGTGGCAGTACCTTTGACATGTTCCCTCGATATTCACAGACTGACTACGACCACTTAGGTAGAACTTAAACCTATTGATTAAATAAGTTGGCATAGGGCCTATACAGTTTTTAAATTTATCCAGCAGGTTTTCGAAAGGATTTTGAATGGGATGGTGTCTTTATACATCCCTCGGATTAATAAAATGTGACGACTTTTTAAGAGAAACTTATGGGAACTTTAAGGAGCTAGCTATTGTAAAACTCAGTCGAATGTTGCTAAAATTCGTGCTCCTGCCTTGGTGAACAACTGCACTCTAGCTGTTATGTATATTGTCATCGTCTCTGCTGCTTACACGAAACAAGAGGAATCTGCAAAGATAAAAGAAATAGGCCCTTTATCTATTATATTACATATTTCACATTCGAAGCACAACCCAACTATCGGAGTGAAAAGATTGTCATAAAAAGTTCGATATGCCACTTCCCGAAGACTAAGACAAAAATAGAAAATGAATAAATGAAAAATACATCTAAATTCCTTTTGCTATATTACCTCAAGAATTGGTGAAGACTTGCTCTGCAAGCAGGTCATCAGTCCTTCCGTCGGTACTTCTCCCTGCTTCCGGTTCCTTGGGATTCAGAAGTGATTGTATCTTCGTCCAGAATGAAATCTCATCTTGCAGACCGTCATCTCTGCCAGAAGATTAGAAGGAACACATGTAAGAAAATGTGTGCGGGACAATTATGCGCCTGTTGCTCTTCTTTTGTGAAGTTGTTAAGTGATTATTAATTTCACATTAAATTTATTTTCCTCTAGATTTATCGTATTAAAAAAAAATAAGGTATCATTTATCGCAGACAAAATAATCAGAACAATTTGAAACACCCTAAGACATTGTTCGAAAGGAAAATAACATTAATATTTGTACCTGGGAAATCAGTAATGGGATGCCCGGCAAGCAGGGTCTTCAGTCATCCGGAGTTCCTCCTCCCTGTTTCCGGTTCCTCCGTGTCAGCAGCTCCTGACATGAGCACTCTGGCTTGCCGGTCCTCCTAATCTAATTGCAAGTTGCTGAAAATAAAAGAAGTCTTCCTAGCGGAGCTAGCTTGTGTAACTACAATGTACAGTGGATTCCTGATCAAATTTGTGACCGGTGCCGTGGTATAAAGAGAAGGAAACGTATATTAGTAGTCCTTACCTGACCAATATAAAGATGCAACCATAGAGGGAAAAAAAAGGGAAACTTAGTTTAGGTCTACGCTACTTAGATCTCTAAGCCTAATTGGATGCAAAGTATCTTACATACAGACAGTGAAAATAATCCAATTAGTGGCCCTTACCTGACCACTGTAATGGATTCAACCGTTGAGAATGAAAGCTTAGTTTATTCTAAATAGATAATTTGGCCTACTGGTCGCGAAGATGATATTCCAGTTTGCGCAAAGCAACGCGCATCCACCGACGCGCAACGCGGTTCAAAGGGAAATTAACATTCACATTGCCGACCAGCTGTGATCGGACCATAGAGCTATATTAAATTTAATATAGCTCTATGGATCGGACTTATCAGTATTCAAATGAACCATCGATCAAATCCTCCACTGGTGTTGTGGTTGTTAAATTAATTAATGCACAATGTTTCATCCTGTAAATTCAGGCTATACACTTTACAGAGCGATTACAAGGTGTATCCGACGCTACAGGTGTCATTACACCTGATTTAACATTAAACAAAAATGACACAATGGCCCTAACACAAAAGGCAATTATCAATCTTTGCGAATCGGATATTATGGAAGAATAAATCACAAACAATACTTCATGTCCATAAAACACGTTTCGACAAGGATCAGAGACTATTTCATGTCACAACATAATCGTGGAATCGTTGAAACCATCATTCTGATTACGTTTCACGACCGCTACATGTTTCAATGAATCTGTAAGATCTGCACATGGCCCTATACGTGTAGAGCGTTTTTAAACAATAATCTCCAAGAAAATTTTGTCACATAGACAAATAAACTAGATTCTTAAACATGGCCCTATAGAGTACTTCACTCCATTAACCACGTTGAAGTTACAACAGGTGAGGAATATACAGAGTATACAAGAAATCTTAGATCCAACATTTGAGCTTTTTTTAAGCTTCAAAATAGCTATGGATATTTAACACATGACCCTAGAGTATATTCCACGATTATTCGCACTCAAGACGGGATGAATGCACAAGCAGCTTTCAAGAAAATTGCAGAAATTTCTACAGAACCGAGGAATAGAAGATCTCTACACTACTTCACATGGCCCTAAATAATTTCGCATAATAAATTGGAAAGATTTTTTTACAAAAACAAAGCCATGTTCACATGGCCCTGGAATCCTGTAAATAATCTGTCACATAAGTACAGAAGATAACGCAAGAAAAATTGGGTTTGGCAGAAATATCTTAAAAACGGCGATGACAGTTTTGTACACATGGCCCTAGGATTTTTTTTCACAATGACAATCAATATGGAACGACGAGAAAATGCATGATATATAGACGCAACTAGAATTTCAAAAAGTTTGATTCGTACACATGGCACTAAATATCTAACACGAATTGTTACAAACGGAAAAAATATTTTGTACAAACATTGACCCTACTACAGCTCACAATCATTGTCTTTAAATGTCAAGCAGTAGACATGATAAAACAGAAATGTGCAGATGGTGCAAATTGGAAGAGAAGCAGAACGATTTACTACATATGGCCCCATCATGATTTCGACATAAAAATCCTTCCTAGATAGCAGGTGCTACGTAGTTTAGCAGTTGGCCCAATCATACACATGCATGGCCCATTCATAGTTTCACATGGCAGACACTCGTAGTCATGTACATATTTCGTTCTTGTACGTTACTTGTACTCTTTTTAACACGAACTCGTAATCAACGAACGATAGGCCTACATTTGTTGTTTTAATATACCTGCGGGTCGATATACACCGTCTTATTTTCTTCCTACACACTTATCGGTCAAATGATTGACAAATGCTTGACAAGATTTAATGATTGACGCTAACTTTGTTCACACTCGAACTCAACACGAACTCGTAAATCGTGAACGAGCGATACATTTTTTGTTTTAATCAAAGTACCCGCAGGTTCATCGTCTTATTTTCTTCCGATACACAAATCGGTCGAATGATTGATAAATGCTTGACAAAATGTAATGATTGACGCTTAATTTGTTCTCACTCGAACTCAACACGAACTCGTTAATCGTGAACGAACGATATATTTGTTGTTTCAACCCATACCCGCAGGTCCATGTCTTATTTTCTTCCGATTCACGAAACGAACAAATGATTGACAAAATTTAATGATTGACGCTAACTTTGTTTGCGCTCAAACTCAATACGAAGTCACTCGTAATCGTTAACGAACGATACATTTGCTGTTTTAATATACCCGCAGGTCGATATCCATCGTCTACTCTTATCGAACAAAACGATTGACATTTAGGTTTTTTTTTTTTTCGATTTCACTTTTACGCTCCTAGAATTTCTCCTCATTGATTTATTTTTCTGCCTTTTAATTGTATACGTTATCTTTTTTGAAAGACGTTTTCAATCGAACCGAGAGCGCGCTATTGCTCATTTCGAATACGTGATTATTTTCGGAATCGTACATTACTGACACCCAAAAACGTTGGCATTAAGAAACAAATTATTTCAAATTTATTTGCACACCCAAGCGCCGGGATTTTTATTCCTTTCCCATCTGGTGCTTGGTAAGATTGTGTCTGATGAACTATTAATCGTGCGGAGAGGTTCCTTGGAAAATATAATTATTATCTGTAACTCTGTTTGTCTTCTCTACAAAACATAATCTCTTACTGGTTTTACAACTTTATACATTAATAATTCTATACTGAATTAATTTGTTGGCAATGTAGCACCCATCGAGGGTGTTATATTTCTCAATAAAAGTATCCATTAAGAGTATCGTCTTTATCAATAGAATCACCCATCAAGGGTATCGTATTTCTCAATAGAAACACCCATCAAGGGTGAGGTCTTTCTCGATCACCCATCAAGGGTGTTGTGTTAATCAATAGTAGCACCCATCAAGGGTGTCGTGTTAATACAGTAGAAGCACCCAACCAAGGGTGTCGTTCGTCTCAATAGTAGCACCCATCAAGGGTGTCGTCCTTCTCAATTGTAGCACCCATCAAGGGTGTTATAGTAGCACCCATTAAGGGTGTCGTCCTTCTCAATGGTAACATTAAGGATGTTGTATTTCTCAAAAGTAGCACTCATCAAGGGTGAGATTATGGTAGCACCCATCAAGGGTGTCGCTTTTCTCAATAGTAGCACCCATCAAGGGTGTCGTCTTTCTCAATCATATACTTTAACCTCTAGAGGGCGGTATTCCAATGGACATTATTCAACACAACAGTTTACAGACTTATTTCGCAAAAGTTTGAAAAGGAATGCATATTGAACATCTTTACACCATTATTTCTTCAAGGTAAGTCCTTCGGCTTTACACAAAAATAATCAGCAAACTTAATATGGTTGTGATGCGGCCGCATGCAGGCAATGCCATTGACAATGATTTCTGTTGATATGATAACATCTCCGAGGGTCCGTCTTCATCGCTGATTCTTCAGTTTGTATTATTCAAATAAAATCCCAAACGTTAAAGCTTAATTTTCTTCATACCTCAACTGGCGTTATTATTGCCAATGCACAAAGGCATTGTCAGGATAACGTTGATATAAATCAAATACGCTCGTTCCCTCCCCGATTCCCACTTGGCAAAGTTCCTAATTGTCTTGCAAGCTGCTATTTGCTCGCTTTTTGCAGCACGCTAAAGCTTCCTACATTTTATTTATTGATGTATTATTATTTTAGTACCACCTGCTCTTTTTGCACTTTATTTTTTATATTTTATTTGGCTACATATATATAGCTTTGCCTTAATTTTTATTCATTGGTATCCCTCAAAACAGAATACCTCATCGAGTTTTTCTGAACTTTAGATTTAAAACTTCGGACATACATTTTCATTTTATTTTCCAGTTAAAAAAGCTGTTTTAATGATTTTGATTCAGTAGAAGACTTTTTTTTTTTTTTACAATAATTATATTTTAAAGAGCTCCGTATTGCAGTTATGAGTTGATAAAATCAAAAAAAAAATTATCACGGAAGGTAGACATCTATCATCCATTTTATTGAAATAATTAACTGATTTGGTATCGGAAAATATGAAAATTAAGATATCGTCAACCAGTGAATAATCTTCTCAGGAAGACGATATCCTACAAGATACCATCAACCCGAGAAATATTTCCTTTTCTCGAGAAGATAACATCTCACCCAAAAGATATAGTCAACCCGAGAAATATTTTATTTCCTCGAGAAGACGACATCTCACCTAAAAGATATCACCAATCCGTGATGAAATATTATCTCGGAAAAACGATATCTAACCTACAAGACATCATCCACCGGAGATACATTTTGTTCTCGAGAAGATGACATCTGACCAACACGATATCTTCAACCCGAGAAATGTTTTCTTTCTTGGGAAGAGGATATTTCACCTACAAGATATCATCGACCAGAGATTTTTTTTCTCGAGAAGACAACATCTCACCCTACAAACAAGATATCACCTACCCGTGATGACATTATCTCGGGAAGACGATGTCTTATTTACAAGATATCATCAACCCGGGAAATATTTTTTTTCTCGGGAAGACGGCATCTCACTTACAAGATATCACCAAGAACACTCTCTCGGGAAGACGATATCAAACATACAATTATAACATTGCGAAAACTACCCCAACGATGTCCTCCTATTTTTTTTTAAATGACGGATGCTCATCAACCCATGTAAGCTTACAGCTCAGTAACGTCTACTTATTTCAAAAACCAAAATTGAAATTAAAAAGAAATTTTCTAATATTAATAACATTGTATTTTTCCATTACAATGCACTACCTCGATGCAGATTTTTAATTGACTACCGTTAATTTTTTTTAAGGATCAAGCTACGATTTGCCCGACGATTTTTACTGTGCCCCGAAAAGGCCATTTTAAAATTAATTTGTTAAAATATTTTTATAAGTTAATTTTTACACCATGGCTGTGCCAGGTCAAGCTCCCTTACGCTGCTGCTGGTGTGCTCGGCTGCCTACGCGCGCCATGTGCCTATACCCCAACCTACCCCGCCTTAATCCTACGCCTTAACCTGAACCGTAAGCATTCATTTAATACAATCATAACTTTGCCTTATTTGCCTTCTTCCAAACGTCGAATTTCGCTGGTCTCGATCGCAACAGCAGGTCTTCTCCAATTCATTTGAGTTTCAAATAATTCCGTCGGCTTTCTGTTATAACATCTCTATTTATACAATCATAATAATTCAGCTCTCAATATTTTTCTTCTGCTGTCCTCTTGAACTTATAGTAGTATTTATAATATACAAGCTACCCTGAAGCTAATGGTGTAAAGTTACTTATTTTGAGCAATTTATACAAATTTGAGACCCGTGGATACATTGTCCAAAAAAAAAAAAGATTTTGGTCCATTGGAATGCCGCCCTATAATACTAAAAATAGTGTGCTTACATTAAATAAATTCAGGTTTATGATAAAATCCGTTGGCTCCGTTGTTGACTCCTTTATGGTGTTCAGGTTTTTCATTTCATAAAAGTTCGAAACTATTTGTTCTGGTAAGTTTTAAACCTGTAATTTTAATGCTTTCATAACAAAAAGGCAATCCAAATTCCAAGGAACCCTCCAACGAAAATCTAAACATGTTTACTCCAACTTTTGAGTAGATCCCTATAAGCCCCTGCCTTGCTGGAATGTCTTTGAAACTGTAGCAAAAACGGTGCACCTGGCCGCATACCGCGCGCGCGGCCTTTCAACTTTTCAACCAATAAGAATCACCGGAATCTATTACCACGCCCACACTGTGCCGGCCACGAGCGGCTCACGTGCAGACCCGCACCACGAGCTAGCTTTTGACACAACGCGTGAAATGCGCAATGCACCAAAAGGCATGTGCATGTATGATTTTGACAAACAAATTGGCAGGTATTCAAATGCTAATAACTCTAAATCAAAAGGGCTTTCGCCTACAGGAATGGAATTTCAACGTACAATAGGATATTCAGCAATGAAAAAGACTAGCTCAATGTAGACTAAAATGGACGCGATTTCGTTGGCAACAAACACACATGATTATTTCGTGCTTGTCGCTATTCCAATTTTCTTTAGCTAATTAAAGAGAATTGCAGAATTGTATGGCACAATATTCAACAATGCAAAATACAACGCATGTACAGAATGCAATACATTATGGTTATTGCAGATAACATTACATTTTTTTTTTTACTTAAATGCGATTCAAGGATCAAAGTTAAAGAAAAGAATGAATATTTTTTGACTCCACCTTTCTTCGAAATGAAGTCTAAAATGCAGGCGGATATATCATATACCATATTGCTCAAAGTGCAGAATATTGGGACGCTTTTTCCTCTTTTGGTTCTGTGTGACTGGAGGAGAAGAAGAATGTTCACTCACCTCGATAGTTCCTTAATTAAAGTTGGACTTACTCCGACGAACTCCAAAAGCTTGACTTCAGTATTTTCCAAAAACGTCATTCAGATCATTTGACAAAATTATGAGTTCACAAAAATTCCATGTGTCCATTCAGTTCAGTTCAGAACAAAATGAGCATTCAAAGGAATGCTTTGCGAAGTCCAGTTCAGTTCTATAAAACAAAAGTTATGACAAGTTCTGTAGGCCTACAGCAATGTTCAAGTCAGTCTTTCAATATGGGTGACGACGACGCAACATGTCTGCGTCGAAGCTTTGCAGTGACCCCGTACATGAGTTCGGTTTTCTGGTCGATTTGCAAGACTCCAAGCGTCCAAATTTGATGTTTTTTTGCGCCCATGAAGACTCCAGGGTATGATGTACAAGTTTCCGCGTTGGAGGCTTGAAGCTGGACAGCAGACTCGGAGGTTAAAGTATCAAGTTGTGCTTGTGAAATTTGAGGCAATTTTTTGGTGACTGACCAAAAATAGCGGGAAGACATTGCGAGCTGCCTGCGCCAGTACAGTGTCCGTTGACCCGCCCAGCCCCGTTCTCGGTAATTTTCCATGGCGTAATGATATGGAGGTGAAAAGTGTCATGTTTTATATCACTGGCTGTTGCTCCGTACTGGTCTTTGCGCTGCCTTGGGCCGAAGTACTCCGTGTGTATTTCTCCGCATTCTAAATTTCTCCACTTATACATATCAAACATAATGCCAAAAATTTCATCACTTATGGAAATTGTCAATTACAGAAAAAGAAAAAAATATGATGGAATAGTCTTCATTTCCAGATGGAGAAGCATCAGTTTCGGGGGAAAAATGCCCTATTTTTTATAAGACGGGACATGGGGAGGGCGTTCCAGGAAGTATCCGTGACGTAGCACGCGTGGCTCGCGTGGCCTGTCTCTCATTGGTCAGAAGTATGTTGGTGACGTCTTCTTGTCAATCTAGCTAATTTGATTGGACGAGGGAGTCTGGTTAAAAAAAAATGAGCAGACGAAAATGTGTACATTTGTACCGCACAAGATAACGTTTTAACCTATTTTCGGCTAGACTTGTCAGACTGGTTCAAAAAAAAAGCGAATCCAGCAGAAAATCTACAGAGCATATGGAAATTTGTACCAGATTGTTAGCAGAATTCTGTAAAATCGATGATCCTATTAAAAATATAGCAGATTTTGTTTTGAACATGCTTCAATCAGCGGGGATAGGCAGGCATGTTCCTAGCGTTTAGATTCCCTGACGTGTACGACTACAAAGTAAAGTAACTCAATGGAAGCTAGGCTAGACACGCGGCCAATTTTTTTTGAAAAAAATATTATTAACCTACTCATTTTTTTTACATATGATTTCTTTTTTGCTTTTCAAAGAGAAAATCGTATAACATCTATATGTGAGTATAATTGTTTTTAATGTTTAGTGTGTAGGCCTAGACTAATTCTGGGTGAGTTAGCAGATTTTTGTTAGATCTAGCAGTAATTGTAATTATAAAATGTTGCATTGTGGGGCGGAGGGGGGGGGGGGTGGCCCCGATGTCGAAAGGGTTCGTTGAAAAAACAGGTAACATATAATCTGGCCCAAGTGACCGTACCCGTACCCAAGGCACAACGCCCCCTGTCCGTATCGTAGCGCACGAAGATGCTGGTCTAGTTTCAAGTTGGTCAGTAAACATGTCAGTTTGAAAACGTCTCGCATGGTGTGGTATTTTTTTGGGTTCATTTCAGAACATTTTACAAGCTTTCCATTTATAACTTTTGTACCCCACATTGCTTAAAAAAGGCAAAATATTTAAACCACGTGCCCATTTCCCAGCAATAGTTATAATTGTACAATTTGCATTAAGTTAAGACCGCTTTTTATCGAGACTAATCTTCAAGCATGTCCGGTCAAAGATCGTGTAAATATACGAAGTAGTTGCGATCATTGGGCAGTCAACAAGCTTGCAAACTGGTAGTGGTACGGTAGAGTACAATAGTTTTTTTTCAACTACCAGATAATGTGTCACTCCAGGAAGTGTGGCCTCCATACCTGAGTGGTTCGTAAGCTTTCAGTTCCCTGTATTTCCGGGAATAGTCAGGAAATGTATGTGGCCATATAGTTTAAGCCCCAAGGCTAACACTAGTACTTTTACTAACACAGTTTGATCGGACAGTGTAGGACGTGATGCATTGCTGGTCTGTATACTTTTGTGTACTACGATTGTTGAGCGCTTCATTTATTGATTCATCGTTGCGTAATAACAAACAGCTACAACTAAAAGTGCTTGTCCACTTAGTAAATGATTTTCATGTGTAGTGGTAAAAATTGCTCGTTAGTTAAAACACGTTAACGTTTAAGTCGATGACTCAGCACGACAGCAGGAGTGTGTTCTTATTCCTCCATGGTATCACTCAGTCTTGTGACTTTTGGTTTGGAATCTACTGAGTACTGTGTGTGCATGCATGCATGCGATGTAAAGTTCCATGGACTAGATTTTGCTTGTGATCAAGTTATCCGTTCGACTTGAGAAAGCAGATTGAATTGTGAGATTTGTCATCATTTAAGTGTCTATTTTTGTTTGCCACAATTGCTACCATGGACGACAAAAGTGAAGCGTCAGTGACCATGACTAGCATGCCTAGTTATGCCAGTGACATGTGTGAAAACTGTGGTAAGTCAGAAATTGTGAACAAAACAGCACTGACTGCTTAAGCGATTTTTTTTTCACAGCTGTTGAGCGGGACAACAAAGGGCAAAATCTGTGCCTTTTTCTTTGCACAATACCTTGTTGGTCACAATGCAAAATCACCCAAGTATTAAAGGGAATAAACAACATTTGCAAACATCAACAAATAAAACTACCAAGTTTTTACGAAATACCTTACTAGGATGTTGGTTAATGACAGTCTAAAGCATCCTGTAAAATTATGGCACCTGGTGTGAAGTCATTTTCAAGAAAATGGTATTTTTGTATAAATTTCCAAAGGTGGTCGGCCGACCACCGTTGGAAAAACCTAACTTTTTTCAACTACTGCTCCAAATTTACCATTTTTTTTCAGTCAAAATTTTGTTTGCTATTGGTTACATGTTCATGAACGGGTGCAAGCCAGCTAGACTGGTTCCCTTACCTTACAATTTTCCGGCATCTATAAATTGATCCATTTCATCTTTAGTGGAGTCAGGGAACCAGACTACTTGAACATTTTTGTTTTTCTTGGCAGTGTCGGTGTAACAATATTTCATCTATTATACAAACCCCTCAAATAGTTCATTTTTGAAAATTGCAGCAAAAGCCAATGATGTACATTCCCTTTAAATGGGGGCAATTAAAATGATTTGGGGTGTACACTTAAAGGTAGTACCAGAACCGGTTACCCGATTGGAAAAAAAAAAATCCAACTGTAGTCGTGTAGAGTGCTTGAGTATTTTGTTTTAAGAAAGAGGATTAAGTACATGTATTATCATGGTAATGTTTGTGTGCTATTTCCACATAATTTTTAAACTAGAAAGTATGTGTAGCTGGTGGCTTGCAAGTTGCAAGAAAGATATGCAACATTTCTGTTTACTTCCTTAAACTTGAAGGTAAACATGTGTGTTGTCTCCACTCCTTCAGTTTAAAAAAAATGGGGTGGGGGAGGGGGATTGGCAAATGGAATGGAGGATTTTGCAGGATTAACTGAGGCTACATGGCAAAATTGTGTCGCTGATTTTGGAGGATGCACTGTTTCAAGGTCTTAGGCCGAACTTTGTGTTGTGTATGCTCAGCCATGCATACATTTAGGCCTAGATTATACTTAAATCTTCCGCACTGCTCCTGGATGTCACTGGCTCTGCCTCAACATATTGACAGTGATTGCCAGAGGATTTTGCAGGATTGAGGCAGTGGTCACCCCTCCAAGGACCGCATTCACAAAATTACAGAGGATTTTGCAGGATCGAGGCTGTATGCCATTTTTACAAGGAGGCTGTTGGAGGATTTTGCAGGATTGAGGTTGCATCCTAGCAAAAAATGCCTAGGGATTTGGGGTTAAAATGTCTCATTTTGGTTGTATTACAGGAGCTGCTAAGGGTTCTACCAATATGGGTCTCCAGCTAAGCAAGGCTGAGGACAAAGAAAACATTGTGGCCGAGGAACACGATGATGATGCCCATCACCATGACGACCACGGAGACGAGGATAAGGGACCCCAGACCTGTCGGGAGAAACTGCGAGAATTCCTGCACACTCAGAAATTTCAGATCACTATTATTGTTCTCGTCGTACTAGACTGCGCCCTTGTGATCGGTGAACTGGTTCTGGACTACGAGGCTGTGGCAAATGTAAGACTTTTTTTTATTTTCTTTTTTAATTCCCGTAAAAAGAAAAATAACCAAGTAATTATTTTAAACCTTTGAGGTTTGAGGTTTGTGTGAGGTTTTATTGAACCTAATGGGAAGTACATGTAGCACTTGGCATAACTAAGTGCATCGTGACTTAAGTCCGAGTCACGGAAAATGTGACTCGAGTCCGAGTCACGAGTCATACAAGTGAGGTATTGTGTGCTAATCTACCGATAGGAGGTTTGGATTGTGAGGTTTTGTAAAACCTCCTGTGAGGTTTGGGTGAACCTCATGTAGAGATTGTTCAAGGGGAGAGAATGGACAGAGATCAAGCAAATTGGCTTTGCATTACCGATCTTTAATGTAAACTCTGAATGGATGTTGCAGGCCAAATGCCCGACTGAGGTCCAACCCACGGATGGAAATGTCACCTCGGACCACGCTGAAGTGGAAGCGGAAGCGGAAGTGCAGGCCTCGGAAGGCGAGCACAATCTAACGCCCACCCAGAAGGCTGCTGAGGCACTTCATTACCTCAGCCTGATTATCCTCAGTATCTTCATGGTAGAGCTCATGCTCAAGCTGATCGCCTTGGGGACCAAGTTCTTCCATAGCAAACTAGAGGTATGTCCATTTGATAAATTTTTTTCTTTGGATCAGCCGGGGGGATGTAAATGTTTAACATGTACTGCGTTTTGCTCTTTGGTATTTGTGACCTGCCATAGCATAATGAGGAATAACCCCCACCGTTGACTTTTCGAGTTATGTACATCATGTTAAAGTGCATATCATTGTATTTTCAATGATACCAAATTTATTTCTGTAGGGTGAATTCATTCCAAAGATATGCCTCAGGAACTTTAACAGTGTCCCGCCAATCTTCGCCAACCTCATTTCGAGAAAAATGGCTTTGAAAAAAAAAAGACACGCATTGCGCCGCCAACTGCAGTGATAAATGTTCTTCACTTTTTTCACTTTTGGGGGTATTTTTTTCCCAACAAAAATGCATAGTGGGAATCTTGGATACCTTGACAGCTCAAAAATACAAAACAACCAATATTAGTTACGACAAGATTTTTCTGCTACATGTGTATCTATCTTAAGGCGTTGATTACTCAAAACAAGGTTTTGAGGGACATTCCTCATTTTGCCTCAGTAGGTCACATTTTTGTATTGGTATGCACTGTACATTCAGTGCTCTTCGTTAGATGTACCTTTTAAAATAACTTTTTTTTATGAACTTCTAAAGCAAGGCCTCGAAAATGAAAGTTTATCCTCGAAAATGAAAGTTTATTTTTTATGATTATTTTTATTTCAATCGCAAGCAAACATATCACAGGCTTAATAGTGCCTGTAGCAATATATGCAGTCCTTTAATAAAATACAGTATCACAAATAACGTTATTATTTCAACGTTAGAATGATAGCAAGCCCATTGCAAACAACTCATATTGCAATAATATTGCACAATGAATTAAACTGAATCAAAAAATTCAGTCAGAGAAAAGACTTATCAAATAAAATTGGTAGAAAGAATACCTTTCAGAAAACATTAACTCTGACCACCCCAACCCTTCAAAATCCAATGTTTTGTTGGACTCTGTAAGAGTGGATACTCTGTACTAGCAAACTGATTTATGCTTGACATCAGTGTACATTGGGTTAGACATACCGTACCATAATCAGAGTCCAACAGTTTGTGTGTTGAGTTTACCATATTGGTACAGAAAAATGCTTCATCCAAATAAGGCCCAAAAAAAGAGATAGTTCTGCTTCCGATTACATGGCATTCAAAAATAGGGTAGGTAGGTAAGGATTTTTTTTAGCCATTTTTGGTGTGTGTGCCATCATTTTTTGTGTGTTTGCTGAAGTCAAGGGTAAAAGGTAGAAATTGATGGTTTTGGGTTTTTTTTCTTCATTTTTTTCATAAAAAAATTAGGGTAGGGGCTGTCAGTATAGGGTAGGTAGGGAAACCGGAAGCAGAACTATTTTTTTTTGGCCTTATATTAAAGAAATTCAGAAAATTTGGAAAAACTGCGGATTTAATCCAAGATCTGAATATCAGTTGAAACTTACAGCGAATTATTCAGAATTCAAATTCAAATTAATTATTAATTTTTTTTTTTACTTTAACCGACCCCCCCCCCAAAAAATGTATGTGTTTTGCATTGCTCACAATGCTTGATCTGTTTGAAGTGAAATAAATAACTGTCAAACAAGGATTTATTTACCATCAGTCACGTCACTGTCAGATGAACAGCAGTATAACAAAAACCTGTGCATTTTGAAGTTGGAAATTTAGAGTTTTATCGGGTTTGATTCATATTTCTGATAGATTTGGTGACTTGTGACAGAATAATCCGTGCCTATTGGGAAATTAACCCCGGGCTAATCCGTTAAAATACTCCATATGGATATAGATATTTAAAAAAAAATGGTACTTAAAGTTGATTAATTTGAAACCAAAATTTGATTTTACTGGATGTAGAATAGATTACAAAATACCCTTTCAATTCATGACAAATTTGATTTCAGGATTACCTCCAAAAACAATTGGCAAAGTTGAGATATAAGTCCAAATTTAACCACTTTACCAGTATTGAAAAGTACAACATTTGCTTTTGCTGTAATTTTCAGAAATGGAAGGATTTGGGGGTTAGTATTTTATAGCAAATATTGTTACACTGACCTGTGTAAAGTTTTGTGTTCATAAATGCTGGAAAAACCAACATTTTTTTTTGTTCTGTAGGTTCCCTGAGCCTACTTCAGACGAAGCAGAGCAATTTATAGACATCGGGGAATTGTCAGGTTAGGGAACCAGACTAGCTGGCTTGCACCCATTTACGGATGTGTAACTGATTGCAAACAAAATGTTGACATACTAATTTTTTCCAATGATGGTCGGCCGACCATCATTGGAAATTGATACAAAAAGTCCTTTTTTTCTTAAAATGTGCCATGGTTTCACAGGATGCTTGAGATTATTACTCACTTACAGTCAAGTAAGGTATTTCCTAATAATGTATTCATGATAATTTTTTTGATGTTTGCACATGTTGTAACATGTACCGGTATTACCTTTAAATTCACTCTAGCAAATTCAAAGTCTTTGTTTTAAAGAATGCCAGTGCCTGTTATTGCTTAATACTACATGTAATACAAAGCATCGAAAGCAATGTTTTGGGATAAAACGGTTGTTAGTGATTTCATCATAGATGCTTAAGCCATTTGTTTTCTCTTCGCTTGCTCTAATGAACAACTACAAGAAAGTACAAAGACAAAAGGAAACAATATTTAAATATATTTTCACTTTCAAAATGTACAATGAGATACATAGAGTATAGGACCTTTTTTTTCCTCAGGAAATCTGTTTTATTTCCTTGTTCCTTTTAAACTTTGTGGGAATTTATTTTGTTTTGCATTAGACCAAGTAAAAACAACTGTGTTTCCAGTTAATCAACCCAACCTAGAAAATTGTGCAGAACTTAAATCTTTTTCTTCCTAAAAAAGAAGAAGAAAAAAACTTTTTGAAATTAGTATTTCAATTTTGGAGAGTTACCGTAGTTTGGAGTACGGTCTTGCCGCAATGTGTAGCAAAGCTTATTAACAGCGCAGCAAAGCCTACATGCATTAACCCTAGCCTCACCTAAACTTTAAAGCTACAAAATACTACTGGTAGTAAACTGTAATATGCAGCCTACTTCAGCATATATAGTGGGCACAACATGGCACAACATAGTCTTTTTTGGTTTTTGGTGCCTGCATACATAGTTTTCGTAGTATTCTGTAGTGATCTGTTCTTTTAATATCCCAAAGTAATGGCTAGGACACATAGTGCAACAAGTGCAGAATGAAAAAAATCAACCAGCATTCCACTCAATTTTTTTTGGCTATAAAAATGTAGAGCCAAAAAAAGAAATATTAATAACCATACCGATATTTCTGTTCTAAGAACAGAACATATGGTTTTTCCGCATTATGACTGTTTCATGAGTGTATATGCACTTTGGGCGATGTGCAGTCGTGTAAATGATAATTTTTTAAAGTGCATAAAAATGAAAACAAAATTCAGAACAAAAACAAAGGCTTTTCCGCAAATTTGCGAAAAAGCCAATAATAATTTTACCCCACCCAACCACTCTTTTAGTTAGTCCACACTTTTGTTTGCAATACACATCCATGAACGGGTATAAGCCAGCTACCGGTAGTCTAGTTCCCTGACATGACAATCCCCTAGCTGATATCTATAAATTGTTTCGTCTGAAGGAACCAGACTACAAAAACAACATTATTTCTTGGTTTTTCCAGCATCTATGAACTCAAAACTTCAAACAGGCCATTGTAGCAAATATTTGCTATAAATTACTAACTCCTGTTTTCCTGAAAATCACAGCAAAAGCAAATGTTGTATATTTCATTTAATTAAATATTTTGGAATTTGTTCCCTAGGTGTTTTGCACTTTTTTTCAGAAAAGTACAATGTGTTCTGTTTCCTTGTTTGTGTAAGACTTGGTTGGAAGTTCCCTTTCCTTTCATCGCATGATTCTGCACTTTTTGTGGATGACGCCACATTTTTATATATAGTCATTTAATGTTGTCTTTTATTTGCATACTATGGTATATTAATTGTTCTAATGAATTTTCAAGAGTTCACAAAGTTTGCAGTAAAGTTACCTTAATGCCCGACTTTATTACATGTCATACAAAAAAAATTAATGGAACAAACCAAATTGTTTTTTGTTCAGTAATTAAAGTACCACGTGAATTATAAAATTACAAAATTTGACAAAGCAAATTTTGAGTTCAAAACAAAAAAACTTTGGTAACATGTAAAATTAAATTTTGTTTTTGTTTTTTGGCCAACGTATGTGGAGTTTCATGATTCTTTTGGCTTCTGGGCTGTTCTAGCGCTATGTTATGTCCACGACAGAGCTTTTACGAGCTCAGTGAATAAACCTGAAAATGTATTGTAAAAATCTTACAAATCCATCATCTAGTAATGGTCAAAGAGATGACAGACTAGGAGTTTGGGATCATTTCTCTGAATCATTAAAGAGGCACTAGGTCCTGAAATCCCCGAAAATTTCATGTTTTGGATTGTTAACTTATCCAATTTCAAACATCTGGTTGTTCAAAAGGAAATTAACCTCATGTCTTACCGTTCCCGAGAAAAGACAAAAAAAAAACTTGGTTGTTTACATCGGACACGACAGAGTACGAATTTACGTTTTTCCTGTCGTTCTCAGTGAATGTACATCTATAACACACGTACAATAACACTGTGCTCGCGAACAGCATTCACCAATGCACAAAATGTGGTTTCTTACACGTCCGCAAAAGGCGAACACTTTACGGATGAAATCACAACTAGCACCCAAACAGCTTGACTTTTTGGGGTCGCAAAAGTGGACCCCGAAAGTCGTTCTCGCCCGCATAATACAGGAATAACACAAAAATGCCCAGTTTTAAAAACAAAAATGCCCAAATTTGTTTTCTAAAAAATGCCCAGTTTTTAAAGGATAGTTGTGTGGATGCTCATATCCTACTTTTAAATGTTCTTTCTGATTAACATCGTTTTGTTTCATAGCCCAGTTGGGCTGTTCCAGGACGTAGTGTTCCTTTAGATATCATTGTTAATCGGCTCTGTCACAGACATTACACTTCCGTTCGTAATGCTGGATTTGCCCTTGTCTTTTCTGTGTAGGTCTTTGATGCTATCATCATCATCGTGTCTTTCATACTGGATATTATCACCCTGCTCTTTCCTGAAAACTTTGCTATTGTGGATCTTATTGTTGTTCTCCGTCTGTGGCGAATCGTTCGCGTCGTTAACGGTGAGTTCTAAGAATCGATGAGGGGTTGCTTGTAAAATCAACATATTTCGCAGTAATATGTAACTTTGACAACTTACTGGGAAATGTTTCAACTTTTATTATAGTATTTATGGGTCAACACGGTACAAAATAAAAAAGGTTTTTAACCCACCTTTCGTTTGATCAGTCACAGACAATCAAAAATTCAATCCCGTCACCAACAGTCAGTCACCAACAGTCAGATCATAACATTACTGCACATATTTTGCCTCCATTTACAAACTTTTCATAAACATCTTTCTGAATTGTTACAAACAATTTTGTAAAGTATTTAATTGTTTTTTTTAATTTTTTTTTTTTAATTAAACTTTGGTAGTTATATTATATAAGAAACATAGGAGGCTTGTTTTTGTCAATTTTCAGGGACAGACATTTGTGATGCGATCAAGCTTAAAATGAGTCGTTTGTCGGGAATTTTCATTTGGAGATTCAGGCCAAAATAGGGCCAATTCATCACATAACTTCATCACATCTCTTGGTGTTCCGACTTCCATAATTTTTGAACTAAAGATGGTATCAGCATGCGGTTTTCACATCAGTAATGCTGAGATTGTGCTCTTTTCAAATAGATGTAAAGGGTCGACAAAGACTCATTTAGCTTGATCGCATCACAATGAATGTGCATGCACTTTGATTTGAAACAAAAAAACGATGTTCCGAAAACTGTCAGCAAGAGTGTATTTTATGACGACACCATTTAGTCAATTTTTGGGGGGTAAATTTTCAGGGACAGACAGACGGACAGACCGACTGACCGACCACCAAGTGACATGTAGAAACTCCTGCCAGAGCTTAATAAAAATCTTGTTGAGACTTGTTACTCAAAGTGTCTCATTCTCCAACCCTGAATTTGTAGGAGTCGTCTTATCCGTCGAACAGAGAGCAGAGAAACGCATCAACCATCACAAGAGAGTCAGGGACCGTGCCATCATGGCGGCCATGAAGTTTGAAAAGTACAGCGCTGCCCTGGAGGAGGAGATCCAAATACTGCGAGATCTGCTGGGGACAAACGGAGTGAAACTAGGTAAAACTTCAACATTTACAGGTTTGGCATTTGAGCATGCATGCGTACAGTCGTCCTCCAAGATTGATTATGAATAGCAAACTACCTACCCAACAAAAACAAAAATCGTTTTAAGTCGTACTTGAATGGCAAAGTACCGAGGTAATTACAGGAACACACATTTTATAGAATGGCCCATGGATACTGTTTCGTAATTCACTTCCTTATGGAGACATGGGTATAATGTAGGGAACAGAAGATTGTATACGTCTCCACAGGGCAATTGCTATAGGTGAATACGTCTCCACAAGGTTGTCACAAACTAGATATATGGATTTTACTCAAAAACTAGGAATTTCCAAGGTGTGTTGATCTATCGCAAATTGAAGTGTTTTATGTAAGGGATATTAAGTCCGAACTTCAGCCTAGAAAATTAATTCTGAATTAAAACTTACTTTACGATTATAATGCACACTGTTGAATCGTTAAAACATTTATGCCCGTGCAAATGCCCATATACATGTACTTAGAGTCATCTTAGCCAAGTCACTTGAAGCCGTGATAACTAGTAAACTTTTGATGTATAGGAGCTTGTCTGCTAGTACCACTTTCTTGTTGCCTCTCTCTTTCTGAAACACTCATTTTTTGTTTGCCATTGCTTTATTTTCCGCAGATGAAACTCTGTTCAAAAGCAGACCGGAAAAGCCCCACTACGATCGCAAGTACCACATGACCACAGAGAATGGTGAAGATGGCGATCATCATCATCATCATCTCCATCTTCCTTTCCATCACCGCAAGAAGCACGCGCAACCGGAGACCAACGACTCGAGCGCCGCACTCCACCTGGACGACAGCAAACCGCCGGACTACGATGCGCTTCACCAAGGCAACCACGAGGAAAACTGTTAACAGGTCAGAGGTCATATATGTATGCAAATGAGGCCACCGTCCTTGGCAATTAAGTCCACACAACGTCGCTGCTACCTGGTTTATGTGGACCTCTTTTGTTCGGAAGTCCACAAAGTGAATGTAATGCTTGTACGCCATTCTCACCTGCGAACAGCACGCTTCTTGTGTATTATCCTTAACGTAAAACACTTGTGACTGGGCCCCCCTTTTTTCATTTTTGCTTAGCACAGTATTTTCTCCTTAGTAACTCTGTGATTTTGGTTCCTGGCCGCCCCCTCTACATTGTAAATCCCCAATTGTTCACATCCCTGTCATTAATCTTCATGTCCATTCTTTTTGTTTCTTTGATCTTGCAGTGTGATTTTATATTCTTAAAATTTAAATTAGCTTAATTCTGAATCCCATTTAAATCGTATTGCCAAACTACGTTTTTAAGTAAAATTTTAATATCTCTGATTATTTTGAATGCAGCATGGCCCATTAAGGCTACCATGTAAAAATTCGACCATACATAAATAAATAAAACCGCTGATCCTTGGGCTAATTTGTTAACCATTATAATTACAACATTCTTTTCGTAGAATTGTTCAAAAAGTTAATTTTAGAATCTTATTAGAGGTAAGCTAAGACCCCCCCAAAAAGTCTCCGGTTTCTGGTATGGAGCTTGCCCAAAAAGTGGTGCGGCGACGCGGCCTTTTTTTTTTTTTACCTGATCTTTTTGCTTCAAATGTCGGCTGATGACTGCAAATGGTGCCCGACTAAACTTAGTGCAAATATATGGGAGTCCAGAGAGGCCACATAAAGCTTATTCTCGACCATAACCCCATCTAAAAACACGTTAAAATTGTGCAGCAGCAGGATTCCAGTCAAACCAGTGAGTTTGGCGGTTTTGAGACATCATTTTTCATTGAAAAAAAACCTTTTACATTTTGCTGACGCGCATGGCTACGGCGACGCGCGCGCATACCAGAAACCGGAGACTTTTTTTTTTTTGCCGAAGAGTACATGTAGTTCAAAATATGTAGACTTCCAATTTTGTAAAGAATACATTGTGTAAATCAATAAATTGGAAAATTTATTTCATCACACTTATAATTCCTACCTACCGGTATAACCAATGCAACATTAACCTTACTTCCTTAAAACATGCAGACTTAATATATTGGATATTACATTTGTTTTGCTTGCAATATGGTTATTTAAATAGTTTCAATTTCAATTGTTGAAATAGATGACTGTATTTATCGCTAAATGATCGTTTTCCAGTCTCGATTTGTAAATGAGAAATGATTATATTTTCATTACAGTGCAAAGTGTGATAAGCGTGCAGTGGACAGTCACGTACATATGTACCAGCAATTCTGTTGTTTTTTTACAGTACAGGGTGAGTCAGAATGATCCAGACCCAAATTAAAGAAAATATGAAAAATATGTCTCAATTTTCAAACAAGTGCAAATGAGAGATGTTATAGGCTGGTATTTTGGACATGTTTTGTAAAAGTTTCATGTATATCCATTGTACCATTTTGAAGAAAAGTGCTAGCAAAGAACACACGCTAAAAAAACACTCTGACCACGGTTCCATGGTTCAACAAATTTATTGAAATTGCATACTGATGTAAAGCAGTGTAATAACAAATAAAAACCTGGTCATGGTGACTGACTCACTTGAAGTTATTGACACATTTTAAAAAAGGCAAAACCAATTCCGTGTGCAGACTGGAAAATGAGCCACTTCAATGAAAATGCCATAACTCCTCACCACAGCCACTAATTTGAAAAATTCAAAATTCCTGTAAAAGACCAAGGGCGGATCCAGAATACAATTGTGGGGGGGGCCCAAAAAAATTTTGGTCCCCCCAAAAAGTGGGTCTAAAAAATTACGGCGTGGGGTTCGGGGCCTGCTAGGGCCCCGAAAAATTTTTGGATTCTAGATGCTCTGTGGTGCGATCTGAGGCAATTTCTGACCACTTTAACCAATTTTTTTTGAGGAAAAGATGGTGGTGTACTCATTGCCTGCCTTTATTGCGATGTCACATAAAAAAAAAAAAAAAAATTGGTTTCGTTTTGGGGGGGGGGGGCCATGGCCCCCTTTGGCCCCCCCCTGGATCCGCCCTTGTGAAAGACAAGGTAATAACCATTCATATGAAATGCTCAGTTTTTTCCTCAATATACTCTATTTGCCACCAAAAAAAATATGGTGAACTTGGGTCCAGATAATTCTGACTCACCCCGTACATGTCTTAGAATGCAGACACATGATGGCAAAGCTTTGACCTGTAATTCATGCGATTTCTTAATCACCTGTAATTCGTGTAATTTCTTAAGGAGATTTGGAATATACCTATTATCTAGAGTAAAAGAAAACAAGTACCAAGTGGTACCACCCACAGCGGCCGGGTATAGCAGCGAAGCCGGGTTACGTGTGAAGACGACTATACGGCACCGTCCGTGCACCCGGGCCATACCAGTACCTCGAGAGTACAGAAAATGAAAAGGAATGGGGCGTGATCTGATATGCAAAAAGTATGCGAATTGGACACATGCGCTTGGTGTTTGCAAAACCGGTTTTTGAATGCAAAGCTGCAATACTTGCAAAGCTGTAATACTTGAGTTGTATGAATACAATATATGGCCGAGTAAACTGTCCACCAAACAACCCGACCACCCACCCACCCACCAACCAACATAAGCAGCTGAAGCCCACGGCGTGTTTCACACCGTCGTGGGAAAAAATCATATTGATTCTGTGGTATAAAGTGTTACAGAATACTGACTATCTATCTTTGTTGCATGTACCGTGGAAAGACTGCAAAGAAATTATCGAAGATGGACCAAATTATGTTTAAACCAGACATTCCATTAAAAAAAAAAACACCCAAAGAATCAAATAATTTTAACTGTAAGGTGCACGCAATAAGCTGCTTATTTTCTCTTCAACTAGATATTGGAAATTATTTTACCCAACATGTATTGTGCTAATTAAGTAATCTTGATATTTCTTTATGCAGTGCTATATTTCACATATATACACAGACTTTAATTTGGAATATTTGAGAAAAAAAATATGAAATACATAATTGTTCATTAATTTTTTAGACTTTAGATTGTTGAATGTTGATGTAAATTGTGCAGTACATTGTGCTGAATAATTAAGAATGCAAGTAAATCTTTTGACTGAAAACCAAATTATATATGTTTAGTGCCACAATTTTAAAGATTAACATATTTTTAGAATTTTTATGAAAGAACTGTTAAGAAAACATATATTGCTGTATACAATTAATGATGCTAATGCTCTTCCAATTTGTCTCTTTTCACTTTATCATTGCCACAATTAAAGTATGCAATATAAAAGTTTTATTCGGTATAGATATTGAAATATATTTTAAAAGCGTGCTAAATACCGAGAAACTTTCTCATTCGCAACTTTGATTTTTGAGAGAGTGTTATGAATTGTGTTAAACCTGCTCAAATTTTGTGTATGTATTAAAAAAAGTTTGTCAATTTTAAAATTAATGCACACATGTATACTCTGTTTTGTTGGGGAAATTGATTTTACGTTATGATTATTATAGAGCAAATTTGGGCTTGGAAATATATACGAATCAACATATTTCCACGAAAATCAAATTGGTTTTTGTATCATTTAAGAGAGAAAACCGGTAGGTTCTTGGGTCTTGTCTTTTTTTTAGCTGGATTCAAAACGACGGTTGACGACAAACGATAAATTTGGATAAACTTGGTCCAAAATCTAGAAAATAAACCCAGGAGAGTGGGAATATGAATGGCAGAATGGGTTTGAAGGAGTGTTCATATGAGCAATATATTTGTATATAAAATGTTTATGAGAATTAAAATATAATTGATTTTAAAAGAGAGCGCACATTTTTAATAAAATTGTTTGTATACATATCAAGTTTCATTTCTGTTTGTTAGTCTTATAGTCTTTAATTTGTCTATAAAAAGAAGACAAATACTTAACAGTTTATGCTGTTTACTGGTTGGACCACATATTCCTTCACTCAAAATACTTCACATGTACAATTTAATAAGGTTGATCAGTATCTGCTTTTTATTAGTTGAATTGAATGTCGTACACACAATTTGTATATATGTACATTGAATGGTACATGTACATGGTTTAGTAAGTTATAGAAAGTTGCCTTTCTTGAATAGACGAGTCCGGGCACGTGACCACTGTACATGCACTCACGAGGTCCCTTTCAATGGCAAAACCATTGTGCCTGCTATCGTATAAAGCAACTGCAACTTTGACAGATTATCTGAGCAATAGCTAGCACAATGCTTTTGCCTTTAAAGGGGGCCTTTGTGATAGAAAATTGATAGCATGTCCGGGTTGGTCTAATTCTTGCATAAAAATTACAACACATTTTTGGCAATTCTTGCACAGTAGAATTTCTGTTTCCTCAATTTTTTTTTGTGTAGAATCACTTCAGCTGAACATTTCAACCAATCTGCTGCATTACATTTTAAATATCACCCCCCCCCCCCCAAAATGACTCCACCCTATTTAGTCTTTATACGTGTCTCAGAGAACTTGGGCCAATATAATTACTCAGCACAACCAGGTTAACATATTCAAAAATATGACATATACCGGTATTCCCTATTACCTGGTTCTCTACCAATTTTGGCTAAGCAGGTACATACAATGTATGTAATATTTTCTGCTTTATAGCGGCTCAATGAGATTTGGCACTGAAGCCCAACCATGCACAAAATAAGCAGAACAAGAAAGGTTGAAAACAGTCTTTATTTTTTTCTAATTTTTTTTATTCAGTCCTTGGAATGTCTTCATCTCCTCTTTCCCTTTTTCCGTTTTTCCTCCACCCGCTTCATGGCTCTGACGTCTTTCTTCATTCGTTTGTCCACCACCTTGTACGGCCCCTTCACCCCGCGAGGGCGCTTCACACGTTTGGCAGCCTGTGCTTTCCTCGAGACGACGTAAGTGACCTCCTTGGGTTTCTTCTTGTTGACCTTTTTGTACAGCCTAAAAAAAAAAAGGGGGGGGGGGAGAAAAAAAAGAGACGTTACTTTTATAAGGAGTTCTGTACTTGTTAAGCAGGAGGTTGTGGGTTCGAGTCCCACGCAAGCACACAGGTTTTTTTTAACAGGCTCTTACTAAGCATACAGTGTACCAGAAGAGCCATTTCAAAATCTCGCGTGGAAGAGCTGATCCATGCTGAAGATATTTTTAACCAATTTTTTTTTCAAACCGAATAACGGTCATCCAATTTCACCGGAAGTTCCCATCCAGCTCACAGTCATGCCAACAAAATGTGAGGAGTGAGGTGTCTCATGCAATGCCCTCCCAATGACTGGGTATAGTTTGCAGGATTCAATGACCACTGGGCCTTTACAAAAACACTCCAGAGCTGTAATGTTGAAAAAATGGATGTGAACTCTCTGATAAGTCGAATGGGCAGGCTATTTATATACCAAGAAGACCACTATCAAGTGAATGCAGTTAGAATCAGAGACCACGGAGGAATTTAGGGAATGTTCCAGTTGTTTTCTTTAGCCTGTGTCACACACAAATTTTGAATATCCGGTTTTCAAAATCGAAACTGAATAGTGAAATTCAAATCAATAAAGAAAATAGATAAAAATATTTGATGCCAGACACCCTCTATAAAAATAAATAAAATTCTACTAGGTTTGTTTGCAAACTACGGGGAAAAAAACAAGACGAACAACAACAAAACCACAAATAACACTCCCCTAAATGAAAACGTTTGTTTTAAGGCCTGGCTTTAGAGTATAATTGTAGAGTATAATTTTCCTCCCCCCAACAGGGGGCAAAACCATTAAAGATAACCAATATGCTTAAAGCAGATTACTAACAACAGAATACCAGCCAAAATGCCATGTGTTGTATGCTGCTCGCGACTGGTTCACAGCTGACTTTTTCTTACTAAGAAAATCTGGTAAATAGCAGTTTAGCACTCACTGTTTAATCTGGTTCAGTTTTTCCTTCTCTGAGGTATCCACCGTGTCGCTAATGGCCTCGGCTTTCTTGCGTAGTTTCTCCATTTTCTTCATGGATCGTTGTCGCTTGCGGGCCTTGGCTTCGGCTATCTTCTTGATCGGCCGCGCGTTGACTTCCCTGAGTCGGGCCCGATACTCGGCGACCATTTCCTGATAAAGCAATGACGGAGAAACTCAAAATAAACGGAGGGTAATATACTCAGTGTTACAACAGTTATTTCATTCAAATCGATTTCTGTCCTGGAATATCTATAGACCTTATTCACGAGGAAGTCATTTTCGATCGTGTTCCCTGAATGTATGATATAAATTGTAAACTGTTGCATGGGATGGTGCCTGACTATTTATGACTGGAGTGCGTTCCACAGTCTTTTTCCATGGGCGCATGCGCGTCCCTTCACTAACCCCTGGCCGTGATGTACACGTAAACGATGCTGACTGGCTATTCAGAGCGTACTGCGCGCACATTTCGAAGATTGCACACCGGGCGCACCCATAATGCGCACGCGTGCTTTACATCACGTCACGTACGAAAAGTATTTGTTATTCAAAACTCACGCGGCCTGTACGATATGGATTATGGCAGCCTCGTTTTTCGCTAAAAAAAACCCCTGTATCTTCGGTTGTAAAGGGATGAAAGGGGTACGTAATTTAATACAAATCTTTGCTAAATAACGCAACGTCCAAACCTTATGTTTGAAATGATTGATTCTTCAAAATCACAACTTTAAACATTTTAAAGATGGCGTCGGCACGTAAAACGGATAAACTGCAGCCTAGGCCAAGTTCGGGCAAGGACCATTAGTCGACTAGTGGTTGATTTGTGACGTACCTTACGCCTGCGCACTGATAGCAACGTGCGAACGTCTCTAGTCAAACGCTGGTCAAAATGTCATCGCAAAACTTCTGGATCCTGGCTCTCTGCTAGCGTTATGGATGCGCGCAGCTATTGGTTACCAGCGAAGCAACCAACCCCAGTAGGTTGGTTCCAAATAGTCGACTAGCCTAGTCAACCACCGTTGACTAGACAGAGTTCGGGCAAACGTTAGTTAACCATTGGTCAACTATAGTCCTTGCGCGAACTTGGCCCTAATTATAATGTGCCATATTTTGACACACTTAAATTACACAATTCCAGGGGTTGAGATCGCGCAAGGCATGATGGGAAACAACATGGCGCAGCAAGATCTCGTACCCATGGGAATGAGGTTGTGCATTCCAAGCCTCACTTTCAAATTTTTTTTAAAAAGACTTGTGGACTTGTAACAGCACACAATGAACATAACAGGCCTACACAAAATGATGAAAATTTCAAACAGTAATCTTCACAGAAATTGACCAATTTTTTTTCAGCAGCTAATCCATGCTTACCTTGGTAACAGGTGCCTGTTTCCTTGTGTGCTTAACCTCCTCTTCTGTGAACCACGCCGGAAGGGACTCCTCCCCGTAGGAGTAACGGTTGTAAGCGTGCTCAATGATCTCGCGTCGTTTCTTCATGGACGTGGCCATCAGGGTCCCCATGGCTAGGCCTTCAGGGTCCAGGTACTCAACGTAAGAAGCTAATGAGGGAGACAGGAAAAGTTTGGTTGTTAGGCTGATTGAGTGAATATCACGTGTAAGTTGACTTAAAAAATCTGGTAGAACTACGAGAATACAGCACATCCGGGCACCATGTACAGGATCTTCAACGTGTGCAACGTACTATTTTTTTGCATTTCTTTGGTGTCCTGACTTTGAAAAGAAAAGAAATTGACTTATTCAGTGGTGACATTATAAAATAGTATCTGTTGACAAAAGAGATCGAGCATTTTTATCTGGCTTTGAAACTAAGACAAGTTTAGTTCAGCTCACATTTATTTCCATTCTGTACAGGAAAATTGAAATATATACTAGAAATAACAATATAAGGAAATATAGAATTGCTGCTACATACATGGAGGCATATTCTGGAAGCCGAAGCTTGTATAAAAATGCCTTTAAATGATAACTAATTAAAGAAAAACTGAGTGAAATGATGAGAAATACAAATCAGACAGACACAACATATATTCAGAATTACCAAAATGATGACATGAAACAAAGATAAATATAGCAAACAAGAATGAAAAAAAGAATTTTAGAACTGGCCACAAATCTCAGGTTCAAAGTAAAAAAAAGAAGAAAGAAAATCTCAGAAGCTAATTTACCAATACGGCTCTCTTTAAATTATAATTAAATTTTCAATTTAATTAGTTATTAAATGTTGCATTTAGACAGATGGGAATTATAGTTGTGTTTTTTTTCCCTTTTATGCTTCACCCAAATAATTTTCTAAACGTCGCCCTGTTTGTTGCCAGCTCCTTTTATTAATGCAGAAAAATTCCAAATTTACACAATTTCCAACTTAACTAGTTCGCGCCGGATGACGTGTATACATGCAAAGGTTTTGCGGTATTCGGAACGGAGATGGATAAAAATCACACAGGTAGTGAGGCTGGAAATATCTGTCAGCGACCCCCAGCGAACAAGGCCGGAAATATGAGTGTGCTGCCCAAGGGTGATGGCTTCAATCCGCCTGGCTTGAGGTCGAGTGAAAAGTAATCCCGCGCCCCGTTCAGTTCTTGTCAAAATATTCCCGGCGTGAAGTGGTCAATGAAGCAACTAGAACATTTTCCATCTACTGCTAACACCAACCTTTGTCTTCAGTTGGGGCGACCTCAAACCCGCTCTTCTTGTCTTTGGCGTTTTTCTTGGCCGTCTTTTTCGTCTTGTCTGGACCCTGATCTGCTCCCTTCGTGTCCATCATCTCCCGGATCATGACTTCGTCGTCGTAATCGCTGTCGCTATCGTCGCTGTCCAGCATCCCGTTGCCATGGATACCGTTCGGCGTCTCCGCGTCCGAGTCCCCGCTGCTATCGGAGGGGAGGTCTTCTCTCTCCTGCTGGCCTTGGTCCGTGATGCTGGTGATGCTGGTGTCAAATCGGACGCTCTTTGAATTGGAAGATTTCGTCCGAGGGGAATCGCTGGCTTCTTCGTCTGACTCGTCTTCACTGTCTTTGTTTGATCTCTCTGCAATTTTACAACAAATTAATTCCTCTTTTTGGTAAAAAAAAAAGGACTGTTTGATTAACTTCTTAGATGCTTACTGTGCTGCTCTGTCTCTGCCCTCTACTTGGTAGCCTCTTTCAAGGATACAAATTTCGACAAGTGTTCTTATTGCGACAGTAAAATATCAGTCACCATGGACAACATGAAAAAGTTTTTCAATTGGCAATAATTCAATAAAAATGTACCCAATTGGAAAGATTTTTTCGACGTTTAAAAGCTTATGAAATATACTCTCTGAATATGTATCGATATTTGCGATGCATTTTAAAAAAAAAACTGTGAAGAGGAGGGGGCTTTGATGGCTTGTTTTTGGGGGGACACCATGTATTTTTTTTTTAAGGTAACTTTCCAAGTATATGGGTTTTTAACACTCTCCCACTGGATTTATGAGTATAAACCTTGAGCATGTTCTGCAGCCTACTGGCAAGATAAAAGGTATGATTGTTGCTGATAGATACTTTAGGATGTGAATGCAGTCTCACCAATGATGGAGCCTCCCTGCTGCCGATAGTTGTCAGTCATCTGGGAAATCTCAAAATCCTCGTCCTCGTCGGCCTCGAGGCCGGAGAAGATCGGCTGATGGAAAGAAGAGAAAGTATAACAATTGAGGTAAATCATGATTAAAAAGCAAAGTGAAGTCTGTCATGAGCCAATGTGGCCCATCATGCCCGTGTTTATCTCTGGTTTCAGTGGCATGAAATGACTGAAAATATGTCTATTCCCCCTGGATGGGATGCCAGTCCAACACAGGTTACTCCCCAGCTAATGCCGGTGTGATATGAAATCGGACTCCTGTGAAAATCGGACTCCTTTTCATTTTATTGGTTAAACCCTCCTACGTGACCGGTCCCTCTCCTATTTACCTATGCATGAGCATGCGCAATACCACTACCGAGTCAGTGTTTCATAAAACCTAAATTCAAGCTACACCGGTACCCATTTATACTCCTGGGTGGAGAGAGGCATGTGGAACTTGCCAAACAACACAAACATATGGCCAACAGCTGGATTCGAACCCCTGACCCTCTGATCATGAGTCACAAACCCCAACCACTAGGCAAAATTCCCCCTAAAATCATGGTCGAAGAAACCCGAATCCTCCAAAATCTGCCGCTATTCAGGAAAGCAATGGCACACTCTTTACTTTAAACTTTTAAGTTCCATCAAGTTCCTGTGTTGTGTAATAGTGCCTGAGCAGTACCCTCCTCAATCTTGCAAAAATCTATGTATCTAGGAAGAATAGGGATAATGATATTTTTGTAATAGCAGAAAGTTTGAGAGCAGTACCCAATGTTATAAAAAACGTTGGTGAAGCGCAAAACCCAATAATAAAATGGGATAAATTTTGTGTTTGTTTTCCATATTTACCTTATTGAACCACATGTCGGTGCGTCGTTGTGATCTGGTGTTTTGGTCTGCCGTGTCCAGGTCCACCATTAGAGGATTTCTTTTCTCTTCCTCATCGTCATCTCCAAAATCACTACAAAAAAGAATGGAATTTAATTTATATATGCCTAAAGGATAAAAACTCTTTCCAGTTGGACTTACAGCGTGTATGACACTGTTTTGGTGAAAGGACCCAATGCTGGTTCCCCCAATCGGTTAAAAATCAAAATGCTGTCTGAACATGGGCCAACGATTGCTCCATACAACCATTTGACCAAGTCTAGTTTTATCCATGTGATGTAATGCTTATTGTCATTTATAACAATGAAGGTGAAGCACTTGTAGTGCCTGTCAAGGTTCACAAGATTATTAGTTTGAAGCAAAAAATGCTCAAAGATCTTACAAAAGGTGCATAACAACTAATTTATTTCAGCTCAGTGGACAATTATTGTTTGAGAAAAACATAGAAAACGTATGCTCAATTTTTGGGGTCTCGTTGCTTATGCATGTAAAAAATATGTGCCTGCAGGCAAATTTTCTCAAACCACCTTCAATGATTGTTTTCTTCCAAATGATACCATTTGGCAGAATAATTTAACAGGGTATTTGGTAGCAGTCCTATCTTCACTTGGGCAAGGACTTTCTCGTTAAAATCGGTAAGTCCCTTTCAGGGTACTTCTAAATAAATACGCACCATGTTTCAAGTCAAACTGCAATTGAGAGTTCTTATTTTAGCACCAGTCACATGAAATACTTCTGATCTGGAAAAAAATTGTTGCAGAGGCTCTTGCCCTACAGTTTAGTAGATTTTTACCCGAAACTTGACCCCTCGGTTTTCTGCATGGTTTACTGCATGGTGGAAAATTGTGGACCATTCAGGAAGATTTCTACACAAAAAAGCCAAGGGAGCTGGGCTAGCGTGTAACAAAGGAGAGACACTCACACATCTGAATTCTCATCATCATCGTCATCATCACTCCCGCCTCCTTTCTTCCTCCGCTTAGCCAGTCTCTCCTCCATCAGTATCTCGGCCTCATCCGAGTCCAACTCACTAGGCAGGTCGCTGTCACTATCGCTGGAGGCTTCGTTCATCAGGGCCTCTATCTCCGAGTCGTGGTCCTCTTGCTCCTGGGCAGCCTTGTCTACTATCTCAGACTCGTCCTGGCTGATGGCTTGAAGTTGCTGTTAACAAATCACAACAGTTGTCATTTTCCTAAAGGCTTTACCGGAAGTATCTTTGTCATTTCTTGGATTTTTAATGCACTCCGTGGATTAAAGGTAGAGTATGATCACCCAAGGATCAATCCATCCGAGTTACATAAAAATCCATCAAATTCTGTAGACAATTAAACATTTGAAGCATATTTGAACAATGACCTTTAATGACCCCTACATGACCTTTGACCTCAGTAACCCGATGAAGAATTGTGTCTTCCCACCTAAGGGTCACTGCATCCAAGTTTCGTCAAAATCCATGAAGGCATGTAGAAGTTATACATTTTAAAAAAACTTTAACATACGGGATACGGGTCTATGGGCATCCCAGCAGATGGGAGTCCTGGGATACTTGCATTGTTGTCCTGTTATCCCTTTACGTTAGAATTTCACTTTTGGGTGAGTTTTTAAGGGTGAGTAGTGGGGTAGCATTGTTCCCTAAATGTCCCTTTGTATGAGTACCCTACAAGTAGCTATGGTAAGTACGGGTCTACGGTCCTATAGAATTTAGGACTGGTTAGTGTCTAACAAATCTTTGTTTAGGCGACACAAAAAAAACTAGGAAAAAGTAGGAAAACTAGGAATGCTTCAAAGCCTGCACACAGTATGCTGCTCAAAACTGCAGCATATTGTTTCTCGTCAATATCTGCACACACCAAATCAAAATAGTAATGACTTGCCATCAACCACTAAGAAATTGAGCTGTGCAGAGACATACTAGCCATTTTACTGTCAGTTTCCTCATTACCTGTTTGTTTTTCATGTTCTGTAGTGCAAACAGTGACACTGTTTCTGCGGTATCGTTTTGTCCTGTGGTCATAGCCATGGCTTTCTGCAAACGCTCCCGCAACTTCTTGCGCATCTTCAGCTGGTCTTTCCGTTTTCTGGAAACGGGAAAACAGAAAGATCAAATGAATAAGTTACACTACGAGAAATGGCTTATGTTTCTCCACAAAATAGGCGTGGCTCAGTGGTCAAGTGATTTGAAATGAACATCTTTCAGATTATTCTTTGGATAATGGGTTTGAGTCCAGCCTACGGGGTTGAGATGCTTGTGTTCTTGGGCAAGACACTTTGCCATGAGTTTGCCACAATGGTTTACAGGCTGGATGAGCAAGGGCAATAATGATGTGCATGCATCCCTTAATTATTGATACTGGGCCTTACTCATTCAAGAAAACCTTTGGAGACAAAAATCTTACAACAATCAACTGGGAGAAGAACTTCAAATTACTTGACAATTAAAGCCTCCACATTGAGATGACTTTGAAATTATAAAGACTGGATATTTTTTTGTTGGAAGTAACTGCAAATTATTCATGTGCTGTCATGCTTATTGGCTTGACTGAGCATATGGCCGTGTCCGAATGGCTACGGCCAGAAATAACACACAAGTCTTTGGGAAGCGGCTGCAGCCGCTAGCCAGTGGCCTCCATAGGTGCGCATGTTATTTCTGGCCGTAGCCATATTATTCGGACACGGCATTATTTTGAAAGACCTTAGTTTGTAATAACCTTTGACCTAGCCATTTCTCACCTCTTGAGGGCGGTCTTCTCCTCCTCCTTGGCTTCCTCCAGCTGCTTGTTGATCTCTTCCAGTTCATCTTCACTATCGGCCTCATCGTCAGCCTCTCTGCAAAGGACAAAGCAATGAAATATTCTTTGAAACGATTTCTACAGTCTATCAATAAACAAATTATGGACTGCAAGTTGACTAGTACATGTCTACAAGTCTGTCCACAACAGGATGGTCCAAAAAAACATTTAAATTTTTTCGGACGCAGATTTCTTGGAACTGGGGGGACGTGTTAAAGTTGTTTCAAGATATTCCTAAACAACAACATCTTCATGATATGGTGAAAACGGCGCTGAACATAAAGCCTAAATAAAGAAATATCGAGTCTATCAGATATGGTCATCGCAAAAGCACTGCATGCACAAAGAACTGCAATTAGGTAAATCAGGTCTACATGACTGCCATAGAGTTATGTGTGGACAAACTAGTTTTTGACCATTTCTCTGTAAATGGCCACTTTTTTTTAACTTGAGCTTTATTTTCAACAGTGCATACCAGCCTTGGCACCAAGCAGTTACCCTGCTAGATGCAACCAAATGCAACAGTGGATTCCGTTGCATGGCCTTCGCACTATGAGCAGTTAACCGTGCTAAATGCAACAAGATGCAACAATGGATTCTGTTGTATCACCTTGGCACTATGAGCATTTACCCTGCTAAATGCAGAAAGATGCAACAAAGCACAGGGACTTGAGTTGCCTGCTAAATGCAACAGTATGCAACGTTTTACCTTTGTTGCTTTCTGTTGCATTTACCAGGGTTAGGGATAACCGCTTGCCAGGAATCGGGACTGGCTGCATTAGGGGAACAAAATCCTCATCCAGTCTCAGACCAAGACTTCACTGAGACTTACCCATCTTTCGCCTCTCCCTTCCCCGCCGCCTCCTCGGCTGCCTTCCTCTCGGCTTCCGCCCGATTCTCAGCTTCCTTGGCCAGTTTCTTCTGCCAGTTCAGCAGCATGCGGATCTCTTTCCTGCCGAGCACCTTGATGTCCTTGCAGCAGTGCCGGAGCTCCTGGGTGGTCAGGTGGTGATTGGCGATGGACGGGTCGTCAATGACCAGCTAAGAAGGGAGAAGGAGGAGTGGAATTTATTTCATTGTTCAACAAGCTCGATCGGATCTCGGAAGCTATGGGCCAACGCATACTGTGTACACCTTATTTTGACCTTTGACCCCATAGCTGCAGGTCAGATGAAGAGGTCACCGTGGGCATTTTTTTTTAATGTTTGACCAAGACCACCAGGTTGACAGCACTACTTTTGTCATTTACCATGAGATGTAGAGTTTCTTTACCCCTGACAGGATTTTTGTTCTGTGTGATTTGGACTTTTTGTTTAAAAGTTACGGCAAAGCTTGTAAAGACTGTCAAAATCTATTTGGGCCACTTTCTTCACCTTCTTTGTACATGTATGTGAATGCCTTTCATTAGATACCAAGTGGCCCAACTTGGAATTCAAGTCCTTTCATTTAATTAGCTGTATCTCTGGACTGGGATGTCCAAATGAGATGGGATAAAGACGATTGTGTATACAGTATTTACTACACCTTCAGACTCTATAGATAATAATAATAAAAATATTGGCTTCTTGTATAGCGCTCATGTCCATCACGAAGTGACGCTCCTGGCGCTCTTATTATTACCCTGGCTTTAGCACGGCTGCCATTACGGCGCTCAAGCATTGAGGGAATTTCTTCCTACCAGGTACCCATTTACTACGTCTGGGTGGAGAGAGGCAATCGTAGTAAAGTGCCTTGCCCAAGCACGCAAGCCCCATGTTCCCCGTCAGGATTCGAACCTGTGTACCACAGCACATGAGTCAAACACCGTAACATTGGACCACAGCACTCCACCAATAAAGGTTTTGCAAAAGGATAAAAGGTTTTGCAAAAAGAGAGTGCTAGTATTTTTAATATCTATGGATTGACTACTACAATTTTTTTAGACACCCTAAACAACTCATGTCCTTTTAGCTAGGATCCTTTTCTGTGCACTTTTTTGTGCTCAGGGCAAATTTGGTGCTAAGCTTCTCAGTCAGAGTGACCCACTGTTTACACTCCAACAAAGTTTTCAAATCAATTCTTTCGGGTCTGTTCTAATTCCATCCAGCTCTTAACATTCTTACCTCACTGGCACTGTTCAGCAACTCAACCGGAGTGTCAGTGGCGATGAAATCCGACGCTTTGACCACCGTGTGCTGCAAGTAGTCGCCCTCTTCGTAGCCTTCCGCTTTGGCCTTCCTTGGCTTGTTCGGGTCTGCTAGGATGGCGTACTTCTTCTTGGTCTCCATGGCAACCTCGGTGAAGATGGCCCGGGGGTCGAAGAACTTTGGATCTGTGTCGGGGTTAAGCAGATTTGAGATTTAGTGTTGAAATTTGGCATGAATTGAAAAAAAGGGTGTCTTGTTGGCTGAAATTGTATGGGGTTTAAAAAATCCCACAGGATGTCCAATAAACATCTAGAATATCTCTAGTCTAGGGGCTGGATGTTGTTATGGTTTGATACGCGATAACCCGCTGCCGCAAGAGGGCGTTATCACGACTAACCAATATCACCCACTAACCCGTCAGGAACAACGTCTAGGGAAATTCGTGAAATCTCCCCCCGAAAAATGGGGGAAACTAGTGCACATGCGCTACTTCTGCAAGCAATTACAGTCCATTTTCAGTCCCACGCACACTACACACCTCAAAAGAGCTGACCAGTCAAGTTGCACAAAAGTCTAGCTGCATCTTTTATACTACTGGAAGAAATTTAAGAATTTAGTTCGGAACTGTCATGAAATATTTGGAATGCGCGCTGCATATATTAGGCCAAACAGGTGCGCGTGCATTACCCAACCGATATTCCCTAGACGTTGTTCCTGACAGGTTCATGGTTGATATTGGTTGGTCGTGATAGCGCCCTCTCGCGGCGGTGGGTTTTTGCGGCGGCTGGCTATCGCGTATCAAACGACAACAACGTCTAGCCCCTAGACTAGAATCTCTCTTGATCACAAGGCCAACTTATTTCAATTATCTAATCCAGCATTTAAAGTCATGATGACAACAATGTGTTGGCTGTTCCCTGACCCTATATCTGAGTACGGTCTTGAGGCAGAGTTAGGACGGAAGCCTGCTCACCGATTTTGTCCGGCGCTGCGTAGCCCTGGCAGACCACGAAGATCTCGGCCGACTCGCTACGGGAGGCCTGGGGTTTGGTGGCGTGGACCTTCTTGAAGAGCTGGTTCAGGACCCACATGATGGGCTGGTAGTCCTTGGATCGAAAGAGCTTGCTGATGAACCAGCCGCCCTTGGCTAGGAAGTCCGAGGCCAGCTTGATGGCTGAGAGAGTCAGCTGGGCTGTGGGTGGGGAGGGTGAGAGGACACAAGGGATAATTATATAATATTGGATGGCTTTGAGGGGTATTGCATGGGCTATAACAAAAAATATTGTTATAGAGAGTGCAATATATTCTTGTATCTCCCCCCCCCTAAAAAAAGCCATCCAACATTTTTATTATTATAGGTATAAGACTGACTCGGTTGATCCGCAAGAAATATATTTCAGGATACAGCCTTTATTTCTCAAATTTTGTTGAATAATCCCGCCGCTCGAAGGTAGCTGTGGCTGTTGACAACAGTGCGTGTATACCCTGCTAGCGCTGGGTGCTGTGTCCGCGTGCCATGCGCTATGCTCTGTTGACTGTGACTTTCTACGCTCTGGATTGTGCGGAAACCAGTGAAAATGCCTGGATGACTGCTGTATCAATAATTTTGACATATTGACATAATATTGTAGTCATCTGGGTGCTTTTTACGAAAGCATACAATACGCTGATTTATATTTACAACTGGAAACCTGATATAAATAATAAAACTTAATATGTGTACCGGCCTTGGGGCTCTAAAATGTGTTTACCACATTTTATTATTAACGCTCCTGCTATTTAAACAGTCACAGACAGTCAAATTTCCATTCACTTCCCCATCTATACTTTTAACACAGGCTAGTCACCAGCAGTCAGCTATACGTCAAGCAAGCACTGTGACTAGTCAAACTGGGTCAACAGACTGTGTACATATAAAGCAGGCTAGTTGTGGGCACAGCTGGCTTATCAATTACCCACAGTCAAAGCAAAGCTGTATCGAGTTACATAAACAGTCACAAACTGCCGGTATAGTAAGCGCACTGGTGTGTCCCATCCACGGGGCTCTTGAAGGTGGTGAACAACAACGTCTCTTGTTGGTGCACAGGGCCTATATTTGATAATACCTTACCTTGTGTAAAGGCGTCAAGGACCCAGCTAGTTCCGACATTTGGGGCACCGTCATGAAGCACGCAGTCAGCTTTCCATGTCTGAAGTTCTTTTCTTAGAGCCTAAACAAAATAAAAATAATCACAATTATGGGAATGCAAAAACACAAGTATAATTCCTAAAGGCATTTTTTCCTGTGCAGGCTTTGAAGGCTTCTACCTTTCTGAATCCTACAAGATCCCATAAAGCTCCTGGTAGATTTTGTAGGATCAGGGATGGCTAGGGATTATCCTACTCCACTGTGTTCAATCTAGTGTTGTAGTTGAGTCCATCATGGTTCCATCACAAGTGATATTACTACATTGTAACAAGTCCTTTCACAAGTCAAGTCACAAGTTAAAAAGGATGCACAATTACAAAGGCATGCTTTTGTCACAGTTCATTTGGACAGCTTGTGACTTGACTTGAGACTGGAGAACTTCTGATGGACATATGAGGACTTGTAATGGATGACGAGGACTTGTGAACTTGTGAGGACTTTGGTGGCTTCTGATGCCTTGTGTGGACATATGAGGCCTTGTGAGGACTTTTGAGACATTGCGAGACCTTTTGAGGCATTGTGAGGAACTGTGGGGTCTTGTGGGGACTTCTGAGGTATTGTGAGGACCTCCGAGCCCTTGTGAGGACTTTGAGGGCTTGTGGGGACTTTCGAGGCCTTGTGAGGACCTCTGAGGCCTTGTGGGATTTTGAGGGCCCATGGGGACTTCTGAGGCCTTGTGAGGATGTCAGAGGCCTTGTGAGGACCACACTACAGATTCAGACCACTCTACATTACCGTTCTGCACTTTTCTGTAGTGATGTCGGCCACGATGGTTGTGACGTGTGGGATGGGGCGGATGGGAAACAAATCCACGCCCACAATGAGGCTGGAAATGGGCATGTTCTTGGCAGCAACTTGCAGCCTAAAGGAGAAAAAAAGAAATTATGCAAAAAAAATTGAAACACTTGTAATGTGCTCAGTACATAATTATTCAGATACATAAACTTAAATAATTTTATTCTGTTTTGCAGCAAAATAAAGTTTTTTTGGTCAAAACTGCATATATTCCACAATCAAAAAATCATTCAATAAATTGACAATGTAGATTGATCAATACATTGACAATGTAGATTCTGAATATAATTTGATATTTCAATGGTGTTACAGCTCTATTTTCATTTATAAACCAAAGCATGATTTTCTTCCCTTACCATCCTCCTGGAGCAGCGCACAAATCTATGACGACCCGAGACTTTTGAAGGAATTGGAATTTGCGGTTCAGCTGGATCAACTTGAAGGCTGATCTGGCTCGATAACCTGCAAGGATCAGAAAAGTGAGAACGATCAGTGTTACTTTAATTTCCTGTATTACTATTAGTTCAGGATTGGAATGAAAATCAAATCAGAAAACTAAGATGAAACACTCTGCAATTAAACGTAGGATTTGATTTAAAACAATGAAAGCAAAAGCATGAAATTAAAGTTCCAAAAACATATGTCAGCTGGGCCTGACTTGAATTTGAGCAGCGTCATTCGTGTCGTTAACGAGGCGGGCGCGCTATCAATTAGGCTATGCGTTTGCTTGACATGAATAGTGGAAAGAATATACACGTTGTATCCGGACGCCACTTCAGCGGTTAATAGGTTGTGTACAAAGTCTATGGAGAGTCGAGAAAATTTTGTAAGTATTTCATAACAAAATTGGAAATATTCTCAGTTCCAGATTCATGTCTTATCATCATTTTTGCAATGACTGACCTTCATCAAGATATATGAAGAAAAAAGCAGCGTCAGGTTGCAACATTCTTTCCCAACCTCTTCCCTCATCCCCCCCCCCCCCGGAATCATTCCGCCTCCACCATGTTCATTCAACCCCCCCCCCCCCCCCCCCCCCACCAATGTGACGTGCAAAAAATGACACATTGTTGAAATTCGTTAGGCATGTTAGGATCGGAGCCCTAAACTGAACTGACCTGTTTCTTTAGCTAGGTGGTAATACCGATCCTTCCTTTGTTTTCCAGTCTTCGACTTTTTACCCATATTTATAGCAGGTTTAGAAACCTCAGTGTCAACTCATGCCCTACAAAATCATACACAGTGCACACCACACGTGTAACATCGAATGGCTGCGAACTGCACGTGTGTGTACTATTTAACAACGTCATCAACATGTGCGGTCTTCCACTAAAGTCTCACACAAACTCGTAAATTCTCGCTGAAATTTCGGCCTGACGTCATAGATTTTGGAGCTCGCTTAATATATGACTCCGAAATATTTTGTTAGTAATATGAAGTTATAGTTAACATGCCTAAAGAGAAAATCTCATAGCAATTTTAATAATATTTCAATACAATTTAACATTTCAAAATTGGAAAAACGTTCAAAAGATATTTTATTGCCCAAATTGAACTGGAAACAACAACAACATTTTATTCGAGCCTGAGGTCATCCCACATGGGTCATCCGCACCGCGAGTACAAGATTTTCGCGCAAGTCCAACGCGCCTGAATGAAATGCACGATTTCATCCAGATTGTTGTTAATTTTTAAGTCATGTAAGTAACTTGTGACAGTCATGATTCGTACGTTTGCTTGAATGTGATAGTTGATTTTAAAAGTTGCACAAAGCAGATGTTTGGGGACAACATTGCCTGTAATTAATCAAAATTAGTGATGGTCAGATATTAGCCCGACTGCGTCTGGCCGTACAGTACTATCGCAAGCTCTGTAGTACGGCCAGACGCCCGATGCTTCCACAGAGACTGAATTTTGTTGGCCGCCGATGTAGCGATTTTGCTACATCTTTCGATCGCGATTATCTTTTCATACAGGACACAAATTTCCAAAGTTAAGGTTCGTAGTGGTAGAGCAACTCATACCTTTTCGAAAAAACGTTGTTTGGTCTCAATATTTTCATCCATCTGGCCACAAGACGAATTTCAGTCATCAGATTCCACAAATATCGTCCCCCATGCGATCCCCCATGCGATTTCAAAATGGCGGCCGCGCTGTAATGTATGCAATATGCAGGCGCGCCCGCGCAAACTCATGAATATGCATAAACAGTCTGTGACGTATGACCTCGTGTTTTTGAAGTACGGCCCCGCCGCACGCACGTCCAAAAACACGAGGTCATACGTCACAGACTGTTTATGCATATTCATGAGTTTGCGCGGGCGCGCCTGCATATTGCATACATTACAGCGCGGCCGCCATTTTGAAATCGCATGGGGGATCGCATGGGGGACGATATTTGTGGAATCTGATGACTGAAATTCGTCTTGTGGCCAGATGGATGAAAATATTGAGACCAAACAACGTTTTTTCGAAAAGGTATGAGTTGCTCTACTACTACGAACCTTAACTTTGGAAATTTGTGTCCTGGATGAAAAGATAATCGCGATCGAAAGATGTAGCAAAATCGCTACATCGGCGGCCAACAAAATTCAGTCTCTGTGGAAGCATCGGGCGTCTGGCCGTACTACAGAGCTTGCGATAGTACTGTACGGCCAGACGCAGTCGGGCTAGTCAGATATGGGAATCTTTCCAACATGTCCAATCCAAGTCGGCACATCTTACAGCGCCCTCACGCTCACCCAACATGCAAATAGGCTTATTTAGGCTATAGTGGCGGTAATACTACTAGTATACGTAGGGACTGCCATCTATCATGTCTATCTAGCCCCATAAAATGTGGCCAATCTACTTGACTACCTCCGTAAATAAACGCCACACTTCCACCATGTACAAAAACATGTCGAACTTTGTCAAATTTAGATTTTCACATTTAGGCCTAGTTTGTAGTTTATTTTTGCTTTAGATCGACTAGAGGCATACTCACCCTCTTTATACTTTATATAGGTTAATAATCAGAAAGTGCTGCCTTTTTCAGATGTCTAATTTTCGTGAAATTTCATGTTGAAATTTTGATACGCAAACATGTGCAAACGAATCTGGAAATTTCACGAAAAATAGACATCTGAAAAAGGCAGCACCTTCTGATTAGCCTACAAAGAGGGCGAGTATGCTAAGTTCTAAACAAAAATAAACTACAAACTAAGCCTAAATGTGAAAATCAAAATTTGACAAAGTTCGACATGTTTTTGTACATGGTGGAAGTGTGGCCTTTATTTACGGAGGTAGGCCTAATCACTTTTTTTTCAACACATTTCTTTTTTAATTTAAAGTTGGCCCAACACGCGGCCCGATAATCAGAAACAAAACAAAAGTTTGTAGGCCTATTCCAATGCCATGGAAACTAGGCTAGGGCCTATTTATTTTTTTTGAAAAATAGAAAGAGATAATCTATCATAACTTGTTTATATGACATCATAAAGACGTAAACACGCCAGTGCGACGTCATTCCGTGTTCGTGCACATGCACGAAGCCTGTCCCCGTAAGTTGTAGACAAGTCACTATCGGGACTCTCCGGGAATACATGAAATGGCCATATCACATGCACGTATGTTGTACCTGAGCTCAGCTGAGGGCTCACTCTTTCAGCTCTAGGGCCTACGACATATTCCATTCTTTCAATGATAACTTTACAGATCATAAATAGGGCCTAGGCCCTACTTTTATTTCAACAATTGTATGTGCTATTTTAGGGTTTTATTTGGGGGGCTTAGAATCCTGCCATTGATACCGCCCCAAACATGAGCATCCTTGCCTTCAGGTTTTACCCGCCATTGTTTTGTTTATTTCTCGTTTCAGATTGAGCTGACATTGTAAGCATCCATCAGAGGTTTTCATCATGGCGTCACGTTTCTTTGCCACTGGTTCGTCCAGTGAGAGCGAATCCTCGTCAAGTGACAATGAGGAGCCAGTACCGTCCAAGGTCATCACCCAGCAACGCTTCGCTCTGAGTGACAGCGAGGAAGAGGTCAAGCGGGTGGTACGCAGCGCCAAGTCCAAAAGGTCCGTCTCAAAAAGAGGGAAATTACGTTGGGTGCGATCGGTGGATCTGCTGTGTTGCCCGATCATGTTGGCTTTTGGTCGATTGCGCTGGTCTTTCAGTGGATCGTGCCATCATCAATCACCTTTTTTATTTAGCAGATCTGGAGGATTGTTTGAAAAAGGAAAATAAAGTCTGAGTTTTCCTACTGGATCGACATCTCGAAAACATTTCTGTGCGATCGAGTGATCCACGGATACAGACTTTCGCATCATGATGCCTTAGTCATTTCATTTGGAAAGGGTAGGGTTAAACGATGCAGAAGATTGCAGGAGAAAGCTTCTCCATTCAAAGCTTTCCTAGGGATGCACACCCTGTACCCTCCCCCTCCCTGTCAAAAATAAAGCAGTGTTACAAGTCAAATGACTTTTAAAATCATGATTCCATCGCTGACTTAAAGGTTCCCTGGTTATCCCACGCACTTGAAATGAACAACGTTAGATATGGCCCATTTTGGAAAGAATGTATCCAGACGCCACTTCTTTGGCTGTGTACAAAGTCTATGGAGAGTCGAGTGCATTTTCAAAGTATTTCCTAACAAAATTGGAAATGTTTCTTAGTTCCAGAATCATGTCTTTTTAACATTTTTGCAATGACTGCCCTGTATTGATATAATATATGATGAAAAAAGTGGCGTCAAGATGCAACATTGTCCCATTTTTATTGTGTTTTGACCCCTTCTTTCTCACACTTTATATGATTTTTTTCCCCAACCAGACATGAAGAGATCATGGACGTCATCAAGCAGATCAAGAACCAGAAGAAGATCCGGGACGTCTCCCGCGTGCTGTCCAGCTTTGACGATCTGACCCGGGTCTACCAGAAGTCTCAGAAGGTGCTGAACCCGGATGGTGGTCACCCACCCCGTTTCTACATCAGGACCCTGGTGGAAATGGAGGAATTTGTCAACGAGGTAGGAAGCTAGACTTTGGTTGCGATAGAGATACTGAGGCCTAAAGAAAATGGTGTTTTTAACCCTAACCCTCCAGGATATTTTGGCTAGAAACCCTGCCCAATGCAGCAACATGCAACACTTGTCTAAGTGACAAGCCTGCCCAGTGCAGCAAGATCCATCAGGTCAAATGTCTCAAGGCAAAACTGCCTCAGAGACTTTGGTCACCGAACGCAGCAGGATACAACTGTGGCATTGTTCAATGGGACTAGCTCTCATTGTCTCAGAAGCAGCACTGGTGTTGGTAGCTGAACGCATCAAAGTGCACCAGACTTTTCCACCTGATGCTCTGTGTTGCGTCTGACAGGGTCAGTGTTTATGGTAATTTGAACTACCTGGAATTTTTTAGTCCAAAATTCTGACCTCAAACTTTTTATTGCCACATTTAGCCACAAAATTTAAAATAAAGTGTGGACCCTGAATTTATAGAATTTGCAACTAAACTTATTCAATGACAAAATGCTACAGCAAGTTGTAGTCCTAATTCTTGAGTTGAGTTTTACTAAACATGTATTTTGTTTGCCTCTTTTTCCTCAGTGCTGGGAGGACAAGAAGAAGTTGACCAAGATGAACGCCAAGTCTCTGTCCACGCTGAGACAGAAACTTCGCAAATATTGCAGGGACTATGAGGAGCCTATCAACGAGTATAAAGAGGTATTGTTATTGTATAAAATTGTTATTTTGCAGCTTTGCCCATGTAATGTAATAACCTATGGCTGTTTTGGCTAGGATGCATCATCAATCCTGTAAAGTCCTAAAACAACCACAGAACAGTAGTGTCTCCATAGCTTTGTGTACAAATATATATCAAACTTTTCTTCATTTTCTTGGAGTAAGTTCCAGTTTTTACCTGTTTGTCATGTTTAATAAACAGCTTGCTTGGACAATAGTAGTGGCCAATATTTCTTCCAAACTTTCTTTTGTGGGTAATTGTGAAGGACATATTTTTGTACTGTTCATGTGCACTTTGACAAGGAGTACTTTGTGTGACAAAAGCAAAATAGTGCCCTGTTACATGTATTGATGAAAGGATTTGCTAATAATTAAAAACTTACCACTTACTTGTCACTTCCAATGAAAAAAAGTATTAATATCGTGTATGTATTGTTGCAAGTCATAGTAATGTGCATGAAAACAAGATGAGCTGAATTTCCACTGCATGTTTCCTTTAAGAGTGTGACACAATGCATCCTCCAAAATCAATCGACACTTCAAAGGCATACAGCCTCAATCTTCCAAAATCCTTGGTTGATTTTGGAGGATTGAGGAGGGTCTAAGGTTAAACATTGCTGTTTACTTGGTACTGTCCCTGAGTTTGTGAGAATAACTTTCACCAGTTTTTTCATTGTCCAAAGGCCTTTAAGTGTTCTCTTTTGGTATAATATTTAAATTAAATGAAATTAATTTTGAAATATTATTCTCTGAGGGGTATTTCGCATTATTTAAAAAATAACTTCTGCCATTTTAATAAATTTCTACCAGAATCCCGACGTGGAGAGAGAACAAGAAGAGGAAGAAGATGAGGAAATCAGCGGAGATGAGATGGGTAAGGTTTAGGAAGCTGAAGATAAATTCAACAAAGACTATCTACCAGAGTTGTAAAAACTCGAGTCAGTTACTCCACTCAAGTCACAATTTTTGGTGACTCCACTTGACTCGAGTCCCAATGGGTCGACTCGACTCCAGTCTCTGCGAGCAAATGACTCGAATCGAGTCCCTCATCAGAAGACTCCACTCAACTCGACTTGAGTCCAAGGCTAAAAACATTCAGGTCCCAAAACTGTGCGAAATTATACTCGTGGTGACTTACGGCACAAAGTTCTGCCTATTTAATGTTTGCGTATTTTGCGTTACCGTCAAGATGTGGCCGCTTATCAAGTACAAATATACAACGTATCACGGACTCTCACCTTGTGGTTTTATAATGTAGTGCACAAACTGCTGTCCAGATAGACAAAGCTTTCTATTTTTTACTTTTAAGGCATTTTTTTATTCATCGAAGTTGTAAAATGTCATCTTAAAAGAATCTGTTTACCAAAAATGCTCCACAACATTGAAGTGAAATAATCCACACACAAATACTGGGTACCATTCTTGCATCGTAGTGCATTCATTTAAAATGTGACTTATTTCTGATTAATGGTGCAGCTAGATTTGGAGATTCGGAGTTTTAAGATGAAACGATTCATATTGAAAAAATCTTTTTGACAGATTCCGGTGATGAAGATGGTTTGGGCGTGACGGGGACGAAAAGGACGCCATCCAAAATAAAGGTGAGGATATAAGTCAAATAAACGTAACCCTGCCAGATGTGAAAGTGTGTAGGACCTTGCTGCACTGAGCCATCAACACCAGCGTAATAACAGGCACTTATGAAACAATGCGAGCCAGTCCCACGAAAAAATGCCACAGTTGTTACCTGAGAAAGTAGGCAACCACAGACTCTGATGCAGTTTGGCCCTTGAAAATGTTAACTTCTGGACCTTGTTGCACTGGGCAAGCTTCACACTTTGCAAACCGTTGTTTTTAGACAAAGCCGAGTGGCATGGAACAAAATAAAGCATCAAATCTTCATACAGTGCGCGCTAGACGTAAGCATAGAACGCTCCTATATCAGTTACCATTGCATTAATTGTAATGCTTATATAGCGCTTTCCATCATATCAACAATCTCAAAGCGCTTTACAGTTATTCCCCCGTTTATCAGGCCATGAGACCACACAGCAGCCGATATCGACGCAACCCTTACAGGTACCCATTTATACTCCTGGGTGGAGAGAGGCAATTGTAGTGAAGTGTCTTGCCCAAGGGCACAAACAACATGTTCCTGGCAGGGTTCGAACCCACGCACCATCGTACATGAGTCAAACACCGTAACCACTGGACCTGGGCATTATATGGAAGACGGGGGCAAACTGGTCAAAAAGTGACATAAGTTAACATACACGTACTTCGTAATGGGCATACGATTTCCAGTTAGTATACAGAGTACAGCGCATCAGAGTCGTTTTATAGCACCCCCGCACCTGATATCATGAAACTCATTGTAACTTACGATGCAGCGCTGCGCACGTCACATCCCTACGATGCGTCGCAGCTGCGACCCGTCCTGCGATTCATTTCACAAAACACGTTGTACGTCCGAAGCGTCTTATAGCACAACTCGGTGACTGTTATATGTATTTATTCAGCGTACAGTAAATAGTCGTCTGATATTCAACAATGAGTCGTCAGATCTCATATCGAAAAGTTTTTAAAGCGTAAAACAAAATGGCGGACGTGTGATGCAGTTTGAAAGGGAAACAAGCTCTCGGTGGACGTTATAGCTACTTTGAAATTTCAACTGCAATATTCCAGTCTAATTCATAGTTAATCCAGGCATTTTCTATTTACAACTTAGCACACATTGTCTCGGTATTGTAGTCTCGTTTATGTACTTTTTCTGGCTAAGAAAAGGCCGCTTCTTTTTTCGCGATGACCACTAGACACGTCGTAACTTGCAACATGTTTCAAGCTGTTGTCAAGAAATGTACGACGTGTACAACACATCGTATGTTTCGTGAAATGGATCATACGATATGCGAGTTGCGACGTGTTACACGTCGTATCTCGGGTTGCGACGCGTTGCATAATTGAATGACACCTGATCAAAGACCGGGGATTTTATTCAGGCCTTGTAGAATCTGACATGTATCAGATATCATCTCTTGGCCCACTAGGAAGAGCTTCACTGATTGGCCCGTTTGTTTTCTGTTACCAGGACGAGGAAAGCGACAGCGACAGTAGCTTCTGGGACGAGAGCACCGAGAGTGAAAGCGACAGCTCTGACGCAGAGGCTGGCGGCTACGGGGGACTCACGGCTGCCTACTTCTTGAAATCGTAAGGAGATAGTCTGAATGTTTTATAAGAACGTCGCTTATTTTGTTCAGTGCATTGTGTATTAAAGTCTCAAAATTCTGTTTAAGGCATCCCAACGGTTTGATTTTTGAGGACCAAAATGTCGTACCCCAAAATTCTTTTGTGTAGTTATTACATAAAAAAAGCAAATTTTCAAGATAAACATGTGTGAATGCCAGTATTCTACTTTGTAAAAATCTGTCCAAATATCACTTTGTGGTACACATGTTTTTTGAGAACAAAATGGCACTTTCTCTCAGAAACGCTTCTTTAAGATACAATTAACTCTCTGTTGATTTGGGTCTATATCTGCAAAGAATTGTAGATTAGGAACAAATGGTGTACAATTAGAAACCGAGTAAAGGATATGAAACTTTTAAGACCTGGCAATGTTTTTATTTCATATTTTTAGTCAAACTTAAACAAATTAAACATGATGAACCTAAAAACAGAACAACAACCCCCTCCCTCATTTGATGAGTCCATCTATAGATCTTTAATCTAAATACACACAGTGTGCAGTTGCGGTGTTACAAAGGGGAAGATTGGGTGAATAATGTTAAATATTTGAAATTGAGTGCATAATTTGTTTTGGAAAAAAATTATAGGAATAATCCTGAGAAGGAGGATCGTCAACAGAATGTTCGCCTCCATCGTCGCAAGGAGCGCGAAGCCAGACGAGCCAAGCAGGAAGAGGAGGAAGAAGGTGACGAGGAATGGACAAAGGTCACCAAGGGGTTGCCCATCAGTAAGGTGAGGCCATAGGTTAAAGGTCATGACCCCAGGTCATACTGTCTGACAGTGCCACGGAAGTGGTATTATCATGGGTTTATAATACAGCGTGTCCCAATAAACATTGTGCATGAAGAAATCGCTGATTTGCTCCAAAGGTGGTCATACTAGCTAATCAAACTTTATATTATTTTAAAACCTATGGTCTTGTTTATAATTATTCAAAAATCAAGAAAATCCATCAGTGCAAACCAGAGATATCGGTGATTTTGTAAGGCTATATTATTTTCCTCCACAATTAGAATCCTGTAGTTTAGCTTATGCCAATACATTTCAGCTGTCAAAGAAGATGGCATGTTCATTGTCCTTTCTAAATCTTTGTCAAAGACTAAACACCTGATATTAGGCATTCCAAGTGGTATTAGATTTGATTATATAATGTTATGTACCCAAAACGTTATCTGTGAACACCCTTATCCAAATGCAACATAAAGGCCATGCAATATTTCAAGCACTGCGTAACACATACCAATAACCCAATAATTGGTATATGCAAGCAAATACTAAGTGTGGAAATTACATTGTGCAGGTCGAAAAATACATAGCCTTACCAAATCAAAGATATCTCTGGTTTGCATCGTTGGATTTTCTTGATTTTTTCACCAATTATATACAAGACCATTGGCTTAAAATTCTATAAAATTTGATTAGCTAGTCTGACCAACTTTTGAGAAAAGCAGTGATTTCTTCATGCACAATGTTTATTGGGACACGCTGCACAAATGTGTGTAGCTTTTGTAAGCTGTATTTTAGTGTGGGAAGTTGCTTGAGTAAAAACCAGTTTATTGTGTTTCAAATTCATCCAGGTGATGTTTGACAAAGGCACGGACATTACCCACACGCTGGTCGTCAAGAAGCTTCACGAGATTGTCTCGGCCCGCGGCCGCAAGGGCACCAACCGCAAAGAACAGATCGAGCTGCTGCGAGAGCTGCGCACCATCTCTGCTCAGAACAACCTGGGCGTGGCCATCGACCTGAAGGTGCTGTTCAACATCACGGCGGCCATCTACGACTACAACCCCAACGTGGCTACCTGCATGAAGCCCGACATGTGGATCAAGTAAGTCAACTTAAAGGACCTAAGAACCATTTGTCCACAAACTTTATTTTAATTCTATTGCAAATGTTTGTATTCTAATTTTTTCTATTTCTATCTTTTCGCGTCGTCTTTGTTTTTATGCTTTTCATGCGAATTATGCTGATGCGAATTTATTTACTCGTGAGCAAAACGGTGATGCCTTTTTCCCCCCACACCTCTGTTGCTAGGTGCATGGACAGCATCACTGAGATGTTGGAGCTACTGAAGAAGAACCCTGACATCACTATCAATGAGAACATCCCTGAGGATGCAGAAACCTACAATGTGAGTAATAACTGTTAAAGGGAAAATACAACATTTGCAAACATCAAAAAAAAAAACTACCAAATCATTTTGAAATACCTTGCTGGACTGTTAGTGAATGACAGTGTAAAGCATCCTGTAAAATCATGGCACCTGGTATACTGTCATTTTCAAAAAAAGTGGAATTTTTGTATCAATTTCCAACGCTGATCGGCCGATCAGCGTTGGAAAAAACTGGCTTTTTTTTCAAATACTGGCCCCAATTGACCATCGCACTTGTTTGCAATCGATTACAAACCTATGAACGGGTACGAGCCAGCTAGATTGGTTCCCCGACCTTACAATTCCCAAATGTATGTAAACTGCTCTGTTTCTTCTTATATGGAGTCAGGGAACCAGACTACAGGAAAATGATTGTTTTTCTTGGTTTTTATAGCATTTTCGAACCCAAAACCTCAAAAAAGTCAGTGTAACTATATTGGCTATATATTTCCAACCCCCCAATTCCATCCATTTCTGAAAATTACAGTAAAAGCAAATGATGTATATTCCCTTTAAATCTTGAAGTCTGTAAGCCTTTAATATTAAAGTTGTTGATTTGTCCTTGAAGCACTTTTTTCATTTTACAGTTTTATGAATGTGGTGGTTTTTTTGTGATTTGCATGTGTGTTACTTCGTTTTTTGTCTCATAGTGCAATATTTTTGGTACATGTATCTTCTGTGCATAAGTCTCGTAATTTACTGCATTTTTGTGTCGATGTATTTTATATATACATATACATTTTTTTTTATTGTAACATACATGTAAGTTGGCCATCAGGCCACGAGATGAATGCAAAACCAAACCAAACCAAACCACACCAAACCTGTCACTAGCCAATATGGCTCATCAGGTGGCATTGCTCTTCAGGTTCCTTGGCATAAAATGTAAGATTATACTTCTATTCTCCCTGGATGGGATGCCACTCCATCATAGGATACTCCCCAGCCAACGCCAGTGCACATTTATACTCCTGGGTGGAGAGAGGCAAGTGGGGGTGAAGTGGCTTGCCCAAAGACACAACATATAGCCAGCAGCTGGATTCGAACCCCTGACCATCTGATCACAAGTCATAACCCTAACCACTAGGCCACATTCCCTTTTAGCCTTTAACCCTAACAAAACTCAACCCATCAAACCCCAACGGCATGTTTTGTTGGAATCTGTCAAGATGGGTACAGTACTCCTAAACTGACAGTCTTTTACATTGGGTTGGCACACCTCCAGAATCAATGTCAGAAATATGTGTGTGCAGTTTCCCATATGGTGCTGGAATTTACCAGGATGGGTATGGTTCCTAGTAAATCATGCTAGGGAGTTGGGGTTAATAGGTTATCGGCAAAAAGTACACCCCTTCTTAGCGAGATGCCATTTGAACTGGTGGTTTTCCAAAGATCGCATTACATATTTCAGTTAATCTTTTGAAAAATGATTTGTGTGACTACAGGAGAAGCCGTATCGGATCCGAGGCTGTGTGCTGACCATTGTGGAACGCATGGACAAAGAGTTCACGAAGATCCTGCAGTCGGCTGACGCGCACTCCACAGAATTCGTTGAGAGGTACGATAGCTCAATAACTTCACAAAACTTTCACAGGCTTGCATTTCCTTCATTTTATGAGCTCCATGCACAGACAAGCGAGGGCACTTCTTAGCTCTTTCGAGAGCCCAGTGGACACAGTCCACCAGGTGTGAAAACTTGTGGGACCTTGCTGTATTGAGCCATCAACACCAGTGCACAAACAGCCAAATCTGAGACAATGAGAGCTAGTCCCATTGAACAATACCACAGTTGTATCCTGCTGCATTCGGTGACCACAGACTCTGAGGCAGTTTAGCCTTGAGATATTGTTAATCTGATGGATCTTGCTACACTGAGCAGGCTTGTCATTTTGACAAGGGTTGCATGTTTTTACGATTAGCAGGGTTTCTAGCCAAAATACCCAAGAAGGTTAGGGTTAAATGTGTGAAAATGATCGACCATCACCAGTGCCATTTTTTATTGAATGATTAATTATTGAATGATTGATTACCAGGTTGAAGGATGAGACGCGAGTGACCAAGATCATCACCACCTTGCAAGCTTACCTGGAGGAGCGTGGCAGCGCCTCAGATCTCTGCCGCATCTACATGCGCTACATCAACCATATCTACTACAAGGTAAGTAGAGAAAACAATTTCAAATTCAGCCGATTGCCAAATAATCAGAAATAAATGAATAAATAAAATAACACTTACCCTTGTTTCCCTTGCAGTATGACTACGACAAGCTGCAGCAGCTGGAGGAGCAAGTCCAGGAGAGACGGGCCAAGATCCTGAGGGAGAGCCAGGAGGGGACGGGCAAGGATCCCGACACGACTGGAGACAACAAGACTGAGACCGGGGAAGGGACCACGGACAGCAAGGGAGAGGAGAAAGGAAGCATAGAGGAGAAGGAGGGGTCCAAGGAGGAGTCGAAGGAAGAGTCAAAGGAGGAGTCGAAGGAAGAGTCGAAGGAAGAGTCAAAGGAGGAGTCAAAGGAGGAGTCCAAGGAAGAGTCGAAGGAAGAGTCGAAGGAAGAGTCGAAGGAGGAGTCGAAGGAAGAGTCAAAGGAGGAGTCGAAGGTAGAGTCAAAGGAGGAGTCGAAGGAGGACGAGTCTAAAGAAGACGCGACTACAGAGGATGGGTCTAAAGAGGACGCGTCTAAAGAGGATGTGGTGGAGGGAGAGGGGGAGGGGTCGGAGAAGAAAAAGGAGGAGGTCAGCAAAAAGACAAAAGGAGATGGCAGTGGTAAGTAGGGTGGTTTCTGGTACCAGGGCCCAATTTCACGGTGCTGCTTAACAGTTAGCAGAAAAGTTGTGCTTAGCGTAGCAGAAAACTTTGCTAACCTTAAGCATTATTTCACGGCGTGGACGTGCTAACGGTCGTGCGTGCATGGAGATTTCTATTGTTACGTCACTAAGTTAAACACATTTTTCCTCCGAAGTGAGCGTGCCTTTTGCTTATGGCTTACGGTCTCAATGAAATAGACGAAGGCTCTGTTAGCAGAAAATTGTGTGCTTAGCAGCGCCGTGAAATTGGGCCCAGGCCAAAGATTATACTAATGTGGTAGAGGGAGAGGGGGAGGAGCAATGTTTAAGAATGGGGAGGTATTCTCTAAAAAAAAAATGGGAATTGAAATGAGGGATTAGTTCTGGTACCCATCTGAAGATGTAGAGATCAGAAGGATGGTATATGGGAAAATGGAAGGGATCAAAAGAAAAAAAAGAGGAGGTCCTTCCAAAGACGAAGGAAGATAGAAATGGCAAGTTGGAAGTGTGAGGTAGTTTCTGGCGCCAGTCCAAAGATGAGGAGAGTAGAGAGCATGCCGTGAAGGGAGAGGGGGAGGGGCCAGAAAAGAAGAAAGGGAAATTCAACACAATGGAAGATAAAATTGTTAGTGGGGTCACAGATTCATGTCGATACAACTGTTAGATTCTAAAAGGCATCTTATTTTTTTTCCTCCAAATCCACAGAGACCACGGCAGAGCTGATGGATCGTATGTGCAAGTTCATCTACTCCAAGGACACGACGGACTTGATCCGTACCCGGGCCATGCTGTGCCACATCTACCACCACGCCCTGCATGATCGCTGGTACATGGCTAGAGACCTCATACTCATGTCCCACCTGCAGTCCAATATACAGCACTCGGATATCCCTACACAGGTAAGATTAGCCAAAAGTTGACAGGAAAAGTTTGCTAAGGCCCTACGTCACCGTACAAATGGTTCATTAACCAAAATAATAGTCTCGTCGATTGGGCATGAGATCTTCATAATATGTAACATACTTGATTTGCATCTTAAAATTTAAAGGTGTCGGTGTGTTTTAAACTATTTTAATCCGGTTTTGTCAACTGGCTGCAGTTTGAGTATTACCTAATTTTGGGAACCTTCACTAATTATACAAATATAAATTTAACCAACTTGGCTGCCATAATAATAAGGAGCCGGATGGGAATTTTCCTGTTTTTGTCCCCAAAGGGTTTTTCACAGATTTGTTGCCCCTCCCCTAATCAGCGAATGTATAGAAATATATTTTCCCGATGTCACAAGAAATATCCAAATTCTTGATGTTCACTTAATTCACCTTAGGCCTTTAGAAAAGTCAGTGATGTCGTTTCAAACTGTACATGTTTCTTTGTAATAGTTTTTACAATATTTATAATAGTTGCTTTACGATCATGCAGTAATCCCATATGATTTGATTTTATTTCATTGTGTTTTGTATTGTATTTTTGTAATGTATTATATTTGTACATGTGTGTAGTTATTTGTAGTGTATGCAGGGCCCCAATAGAAACTAATTTGAAACTGTTTGGGCATACCCTGGGTAAAAAAGAACGCAATACAAAAATAAATAAATAAATAAACTATTAATTTCAGTACGAAACATGTCATGTCATGAATTATGTACATGTCAATATGCAGAAACTGTCAATATGTAGAAAGTGTTGCCTAAAAAAAGCTTTAAAATGCTGTTCTTTTGTGCTGCTAATGGCGTTCATTCGCTCTTTTGGTGTCTTTTCCCGTGTTCAGATTTTGTACAATCGGACCATGGTGCAGCTGGGCCTGTGCGCGTTCCGTCACGGTAACATCAAGGATGCCCATCATGCATTGCTGGACATCCAGAGTGGGGGTAGGGCCAAGGAGCTACTTGCACAGGTACGGGAAAAAAATCTACAGTCGGACAAACCCCTGAAACCACCAAAAAATCGTCTAATATGAGAACACCTGTCACGTGATGAATATAATGTTTGTTTCATTTCAAAGCTGAAAACTGTGCTCTTTTCAAAAATATTCATAAATTTCTGAGACGTTTTACCAATTCCTATTGGTCGAGAGCCCGTATTGTGGGTGGTTTTAAACCGCTGGTGAAACACAGCTGCCTCCTGCGCCACATCGTGCAGTACTGGACGCATGCGCACCAATTTCCATATTAGGAGATTTTTAGTACAAGTGAGGCACATACCATAGACATTAGCAGAGGGGTGTTTCACTAAGGCCAAAAAAAAAGTCTCCGGTTTCTGGTATGGAGCTTGCCCCAAAAGTGGTGTGGCGACGCGGCTTTTTTTTTTTTTACCTGTTTTTTTTTTTTTTGGCTTCACATGTCGGCTGATGACTGCAAATGGTGCCCGACTAAACTTAGTGCAAATATATGGGAGTCCAGAGAGGCCACATAAAGCTTATTCTCGATCATAACCCCATCTAAAAACACGTTAAAATTGTGCAGCAGCAGGATTCCAGTCAAACCAGTGAGTTTGGCGGTTTTGAGACATCATCTTGTATTGAAAAAAAAACTTTTTCATTTTGCCAAAGCGCATGGCTACGGTGACGCGCGCGCATACCAGAAACCGGAGACTTTTTTTTTTTGGCCTAAACAAGAAGTCAAATTGTTGAACAAAATCGTTGGAAATTTGTGCATTTTTGATTTGTTTGGACTTTTGACCGACTGAAAGGTCTTTATGAATGGGAATAAATATGTGCTTGGCCAGTATTAAATAAGTTTGTTTAAACCAGCTAGGGGCCTGGTTGTAGTTCAGTTCAGGCCATTATCCGTGTTTGTGTAAACCGGCCATGCACATGTTTACTTCCTTATTAAAATTGCTTCAAAACAACCTCTACATCAAAGGTTCTGGTTCAAGTGAAGATATCAGACTTGGGAAAAGTAACTTCAGAGAAACTTAAACTTGCATTTGAGCCTGTTTACTTCTTCTAGCAAGGAAGCAGATGAAAGAACCAAAGTGATGTAAACGTTTATTTCTGTAGAAGAAACTCATATTAAGTGACATTCCGTGGTTTTTCCTTGTTCATGTTGTTTGCGTTACAGATATCTGAATCAAACTTTTCCAATTAACCAATGAATGATCATAGGGTTGTCAATTTAGTTTCAGAGGGAAAAAAAACGATCAAAAGTGTCCAAGTAAAAATCTCTTAGACGGTTCCTAACCATTTTCTTTGCTAGGACCATTTAAATGTTTAAATGTTCATGGTCTTAATTGTCTTGCACATGTGTGTATGTTATGGCCACAGGGTCTGTTGATGCAGAGGCAGCAGGAACGAGACCCAACCCAGGAGAAGATTGAGAAGTCTCGTCAGTTGCCCTTCCACATGCACATCAATCTGGAGTTGCTTGAGTGCGTCTACCTCGTCTCGGCTATGCTACTGGAGATACCTTACATGGCCTGTGAGTACCAACTAGAGTATCACATGTCCATCACATGTCCATCACATGTCCATCACATGTCCATTACATGTCCATCACACGTCCATCACGTGTCCATCACATGTCCATCACATGTCCATCACATGTCCATCACATGTCCATCACATGTCCATCACATGTCCATCACTTGTCCATCACATGTCCATCACATGTCCATCACATTTCCATTACATGTCCATCACATGTCCATCACATGTCCATCACATGTCCATCACACGTCCATCACACGTCCATCACAAGTCCAACACATGTGCATCACATGTCCAACACATGTGCATCACATGTCCATCACATGTCCTTGCATGTACATCACACGTCCATCACACGTCCATCACATGTCCATCACACGTCCATCACACGTCCATCACATGTCCATCACAAGTCCATCACATGTCCTTGCATGTACATCACATGTCCATCACAAGTCCATCACATGTCCTTGCATGTACATCACATGTCCATCACACGTCCATCGCATGTCCATCACATGTCCATCACAAGTCCATCACATGTCCATCCCATGTCCATTACATGTCCATCACAAGTCCTCATAAGTCCATCACAAGATACCTTGTCCCAAGTCATTGCTTATCCCCTCTTGTGAAGGGACTTGTGGTGGACTCGACTGCAACACAGCAAACTTCACAATGATGCTAAGCATAAGAAATTTGCTTAGTCAGTTTGTGTGCTAAGAATATTTCACCTGTCACAAGCAGTATTCGTTGTGTGAACTGTTTTGGTAGACTAGGTTCTTGTACCCAATTTTATGAACAATGCTAAGCAGAAAATATTGTTATGCAGTGTTGTGTGCTGAGCACATTTTGGCTGTAACAAGATGGATGATGAGATCTTTCGGCTTGTCAGGGCCAAATTTCATGGTGCGGTTAACCGGTTAAGCACAAGATTTTCTGCTAACTGAGCCTATGTCTATTTCATAGAGACCGTAAGCAGTAAGCATGGCAAAAGCATGCTTAAACCCCCGAGGAAAAAGTTGCTGAAATCAGTGATGTAACGATCAAAATCTCCATGCGTGCACAACCCTTAGCACATCCACGCCATGAAATAGTGCTTTAGGTTCGCACAATTTTCTGCTATAGTAAGCACAACTTCTCTGCTCTTCTACTGTTAAGCAGCGCCATGAAATTGGGGTCAGATGTTTTTTGCAAATTTCTATGCTTAGTGAGACTTTGAAATTAGCCCCTGGGCCAAACTTAACGTGGTAAAGCACAAAATTGTGCTTAGCACAGGAAACATTTGTTTGACCCAAATGGGTTACAACTCAGCATTTCATGAAATGTGTACTGCCGGAAACTAGTTCTCAACTGATTTTTCACACATAAATTTGCTAAACAATGATTTCTGTTGAGTAACTCCTTGAATCTGGGCCCTGGACTGATCTATTTGGAAATTAGAACTTCCTTTCTCATCATTTTGCTTCTGTGAACAAAATACCAATGACAGCTAAAGTAGTAAAACTAAGGCCAGAATCGATGGATGTAGTTTTATTGTACATGTATTCACCCCTATTCCGTTTCCCAAATCCCACAGCCCACAACTTTGACATCCGTCGGCGCATGATCAGCAAGAGTTTCCACCACCAGTTGCGACTGAGCGAGCGGCAGACTCTCGTGGGTCCCCCAGAGAGCATGAGGGAGCACGTGGTGGCCGCCTCGCGGGCCATGCGCTACGGCAACTGGCGGGCTTGCAAGGACTATCTGCTGAACGATAAGATGAACGGCAAAGTCTGGAATCTGTTCCCGAACAGTGATCACGTGAGGGAGCTCATTACAAGGTAAAAACAGATTTAATATAAGACTTTCCTCCCAAAGTACCCTTTTTATGTAATGCTTCGTGTCAATGTGTAAGCACATGTAGACCACATTTCCCATAAATCGTTTTAAAGGTAAGAATTTTGGCACCAAATTATACCACAAGTTATAGCAGTTATGGTACACAAAAATGATGTGTTCGGTATGCGTCTGTGTCTGATGTGCCATGAGGTTGAAGGCCAAGTGGCATAACAAACACACTACATTTCCGTGTTCAATGAGCGCGAGTGAGATAACGAATTTACAAACTTGACACACGGTAAAGTTGAACATGCATGCTTTACACAAACGCTTCAGCGGTTATCCTGTTATGTATGCGCGTGCAACAGTAATGGCGTGCGCATCTTAGAATAGCGCGATACGCGGAGTGCGATATGGACCGTGGTATATGGGGCCAAGTTCGCGCAAGGACTATAGTTGACCAATGGTTAACTAACGTTTGCCCGAACTCTGTCTAGTCGACGGTGGTTGACTACGCTAGTCGACTATTTGGAACCAGCCTACTGGGGTTGGTTGCTTCGCTGGTAACCAATAGCCGCGCGCATTCATAACGCTAGCAGAGAGCCAGGATCCAGAAGTTTTGCGATGACATTTTGACCAGCGTTTGACTAGAGACGTTCGCACGTTGCTATCAGTGCGCAGGCGTAAGGTACGTCACAAATCAACCACTAGTCGACTAATGGTCCTTGCCCGAACTTGGCCTGGGTTAATACCACACTGTTCAATCAATGAGGATTGAGGATTTAAGTTTGCTAAAAGATAAAGCTTGGTAGTTTAATCAACACTGCACTGTGTTATATTGTCAGATTGGTCATTTTCACACCACAGCTGTGGCATGTTATGATGCCACACGGGTAGCTCAAAACCACCTTCCGAAGTCAAGGGTGACATCCAGAAATGGTAACAAATCTTTTATGTCTCTGATTACAGGAAAATTCAAGAGGAGAGTTTGAGGACCTATCTCTTCACCTACGGCAGTGTCTATGATTCACTCAGGTATGGTTACAAACCACACAAGCAATTAGGGGAAAAAAACATCTCAAGTAATATTTTTAGTAACAGATACAGCTTTTGGCATTGAAGTGCTGCTTTCTGCAAGCAGTCCACTGGTGTTGACGAAGGGAATAGTCACAATAACTTTTTTTCTCTTTTTTTTCTTTTATCAGCATGAACACACTGGCTGAGATGTTTGAATTGGAGAAGCCTGTTGTGCACAGCATCATCAGCAAGATGATCATTAATGAGGAACTCATGGTAAGAAACGAAAAGTCAAAGAAGTGACCTTTATTTTCAAAAAAGTATCAAATGATGAGATACCTGTTCAAAAGTCAGGGCCCTAGTTCACGGAGCTAGTAAGCAGAAACGATTCTTACAGCCACGAAGCATTATGAGCAGTAAACAGAAGAGAACGAGTCACAACCAGTGCCACTCTCTGGCTGGTACACTCTTCCGACTAAGAAATACTCTTCCTACTAAAAAATTATAAAATTGTAAAATCGTGGCAGCTGTGCTAAATTTGGCGTGGCCAGTTTGAAGGAGATTAGTAGAGAGTATTGCTTCGCAAAATGTCTTGCTAAGAAGTTTCCAACTGAGACGAAAGCAGCTTGCAACCATTCGCAAGCAACACAATTGTGCTTCGACCCATTTTTGTTCTGTGCTTTACAAGGTTCTATGCTAATCACATTTTCAATTCAGTCACAATGCAAACCTGGGAAATAGCAAACGGGAATCACTCAGAGAGGAGACGGCTTTTTATTACAAATGTTCACATGAACCACAAAGGGAGAACTGACTAGGTGCATTATAATAATTTTTAAAAATTGAACAAAGAAATTGACTGGAGCAGGGTTTGAACCTGCGAGATCCTGATTGCCGTTCCGGTGCTCTACCAGCTCAGCTATCCAGTCCTATGTTAGTGGTTCCCCATTTAGTAAATGTCTTAGTAAATTTTCAAGGGGCGCTAGTCAGAAGCCAAATTTTCAATTATCGGTGTTCCTTTTCGTTTTGTTCATGAAGGCTTCATGGGATGAGCCAGCCCAGACCGTGGTCATGCACCGCTGCGAGCCCACCAAGCTCCAGAACCTGGCCCTGCGCCTGGCGGACAAAGTCAACAACCTCGTGGAGAACGGCGAACGCTTACTGGAGTACCGCCAGAACGACGGCCGGGGCTTCAACAAAGGCGGCGGCCAGCAGTTCCGCGACAAGCAAGGCAACTACCGCGGGGACCGCAGCGACCGAGGGGGCGAGAGGTCCGGGTATCGCTCTGGGCGGGGCGGTTATCGTGGCGGTGGCGGTGGTGGGAACTACCGTGGCGGCGGAGGCTATCGCGGGGACCGGAGTGGCGGCGGAGGCTATCGTGGGGACCGGAGTGGCGGTGGTGGCTACCGCGGGGACCGGAGTGGCGGTGGTGGCTATCGCGGGGACCGCAGTGGCGGTGGTGGCTATCGCGGGGACCGAAGTGGCGGTGGTGGCTATCGCGGGGACCGGAGTGGCGGTGGTTATCGTGGAGGTATGTAGCTTGAATTAACCCTACTACTTTGGACACTTCACAAAACACTTCACGGCTTGTCTCTACACTTTTGCCTACTCACATACTGAAATTTGTATCCTTGTGGAGACATTTCTAAAGTTTTTGAGTTCGAAAGAACAGTTTCAAAATGCTCTTATTTTAACCAGAATTAATTTCCTGGGCTGAAATTCGGACTTGATATCCCTTTTCTAAAATTCTACCATTTGCGACCGATCAACATACCTTGGAAATTCCTAGTTTTTGAGTAAAATTCATATTTCGTGAAAACCTTGTGGAGACGTATTCATCTATAGAAATTGCCCTGTGGAGGCGTATACAATCTTTTGTTCCCTATTGTGTGCATGTTTCCAGAGGGCACGGTGTATCGGATCAGAATTAACACACACACACTGCTAATTTTAAGTATCTTCTATCCAGTATGCTGTGGCCCTCAAAACCCTTCACAACACTTCCGAGTCTTATTTTGTGGCCAAGCAGTTGCTCCGCACTGCTCTGCACTGCTCAGCACTCCGCATGCAAATGTGTCATTGTGTCTTTTTATTTTCTTTTTTATGAAACCTTTTCACATGAGAAAAATCTGAAGGGTTTTGAAGTGACGTGTTACACTGAAGTAGGAATTCTCAGCAGGGTGAATGGTTTTGTGGAGCACTGAGGTCCAGTTATTACGGTGTTTGACCATGCTGTGGTACCTGTGTTTGAACCCTGACGGGGAACATGGTGCTTGTGTTCTTGAGCAAGACACTTTACTACAATTGTCTCTCTCCACCCAGGAGTATAAATGGGTACCTGTGAAGGTAGAGACCAGAATGCGCTGAAATTGAGCCGCTGCAGAAACTGGTCTCATGGTCTGACGAACAGGGGTAATAATTGTGAAGCGCTTTGAGACCTTTGGTATAAAGTGCCATATTAGCACAGCATTATTATTTTGAAATCAGCAGTACATTTGCCAACCAAGGTGCACATATACCCTTGATTTTTTGTTGTGTTATTTGTTGCCAACTGTTCTTGTGTTCTTTCCCTTGCACAGGTCGGAGAAGTAACCAGAATACGTACTAGATGCCTGCTAGCTCAGAACTCGCTGCCACTACCACGATTGCAAAGATGATGTCTCAGTGTATGGCGCCCTCTTTCGAAAGAAGTTTCATCAGGCTTCATGATTCCAACAATGGATTTCTATACCCATCCCCCCTCTGCAACATAATAGGCCTCTCTCAAATGACGTCATTTCCTACAGACCATCCACGTGCATCGTCATTTAGAGTGTCAACTTGCATAACGCGTATCGGCTGCATTGTATTTCGAACACGTTTCAAGTACTATAAGAGTACTTCAAGTACTATAAGTACTACATTTCAAGTAACAAGGGAGTGTTTTTGGAACATTTTCAACACTGCGCAATGCGTGCTTGATGGCGTAAAATACACAGTTGCAGTTCTCCTACAGAGATGGCTGTCATTGAGAGAGACCTATTAGTTTTGGCCTTAATTTAAAACTCTTTAACCCAAACCTGCTGGATTCTTCAGAGTCCATCAGGTTTTGGAGGACTTTGAAGGATTCAGGAGCATCGGAACCTTTTTATGGGGGCCTTGAAGCATATAGTTTTAAATACTAAAAATGCTTCCTATGGTGTTGCCCTTCAAAAATTCTGTCATAATTTCATTTCTGCTTGCTGAGCGGCAGATTCTGTAAGGTTTCATGCAAAAAGTTCTTGGGGAGTACCACCTGAAATCTCTGGTTTTCCTTTCTTGAGTCACTCTTATACTCAGCAGCCATTTTGCAGAACAGTGTTTTTTGTTTGTTGGGGTTTTTTTGGTTCATATACTGGCAAGTAACAAAAAATAGGAAATTCGAAACTTAACATGACTTTACAAAGTGTTTCTAATGGCACAAGTAAAAAATGACATCATCTGATCCGGGTTCAGTTGCACACCTGCATATATTTTGTTTTAGAATTAAAACTAACAAAAATACTCTCTCTATAAACATTGTTGCCATGTATATTGTCAAAAAGAGGACAGTTGATGACCAAAACTGCAGAGTATTTGAGGTATTTTAGTCTGCATACCAGCAGCCAACTTGAGTGCTTTTTTGGTAGTTTGACGTGCTGTCTGCATTTTGAGAATTTTGGTTTTCTCCAAGAACAAACAACAGTTTTTGGACGGAGACAGTTTCAAAGTTTTTGAGCATTAATTTAAAAACAGTAATGTGCAAAGCTGAGCATTTCTCATTCAGCTGTACTGTCTTTTTTTCTCAAACTAGTAAAATATTAACTTTTAAGGTTCTATGTAAGACAAGCAAACAAAAGACAGAAATCCAATTTTTGTTGATTTAGAAAATAAAATCACTGAATTTTATTAAATCAAATCTCAAGTTAACATAATCATAAATTAACAGTGGCAAGTGATAATAAAATGGTACCATATTAAACATAGTGTTGTGTCACAATTTCTAATGATTGTAAAATTAAAAACAATATCTTTGATATATAAGCTACGTCAATGAATTTAGTAAATTTAGAAAAGAAATTCCTGGAAAGTTACCAGAAAAACATCAGATACGAGCTATTACTAATGAAATTACAGTCCACTCGATACAGAATTCTGATATAACTAGAAACACTCGGAGAGTGCAAATCTCTGTCAAGGCTGAACAATTCCCTGCCATATTGTCAGTTCGCCCAAAAGAAATACTCGCATAATATTAATGGCGAAGAATCCTAAAAAAAAATCCTTGAAACGGATCCGGATCACTTCCAAAATCAAATCGATTTGTACTTGTACCAAGGACCACCCCTAAAGAAATTTTCATTCAAATCCGTCCATAACATTTTGAGTTATCTTATGAACAGACAAACTAACCAACCAACCAACAAAATCCGATGAAAACATAACCTCCTTGGCGAAGGTTGTAAACCTTAACAGGAGCGTATGTCCCATTGTGCAAATATATGCACAGTTGGGACCAAGATTGATTGTTCAATACAACCAGAATCCGACTGTATACCACAAACGCCATAAATAAGAACTCTCCAAAATGCACAATGTTTTTATCATGAAAGTTACAAACATAGCACCATCTAGGACTATAGGCTTTATTCATGAGTCGGCCATGTTACATTGAAAGCGAGGTAATATCTTCATTTTTGGAACTTGCGAATAGAAATGAAAGCAATGATATAACCCCCGGTAGTTAAGAACAAATTAATACCAAGAACAAATTAATACAAGTCTGCTCTGATGAATAATTTACAATATGTGATTAAACATACACTAATTTTTAAAGCAACATTTAAAACAACTTTGCAAGTGAGGCTTGGAATGCAAAAATAGTCTGGCACCATCCCATTCAACAGTTTGCAATTTATGAAATACAGTCAGGGAACACGACCCAAAATGGCTTCCTCATTGAAGTGTCTTACTTCAATTAAAAATATACCAGAATGCACATTTGTCAAATTTCCCTAGAACTTATAAACTATGTGTATTTTTGATCAGTTAAATGTACCCAAACAATCCTGTTGAATAGTTGTACAACAAAAAGAATCAGCAACTTAGCCTAGTTTTGGCACGTTAACAGTGAGACTGAAATTTCAAAAAAAAAACTTTTACAAAATTACAATTTTTTGTTGGTAACAATTTTTTTCTATGTAAAAACCAAACAGTAGGCCTATACAGCAAGTACACAGATTACAAAAAGAGTCATAAAGGCAGTGTGCCTCTCTTATTAATCCTCTGGTTATACTCCGATGAGGAAGATTTGATTTAGGTCTTAATCTACAAAGTTAATCTACAAGGGAATATATTCATAGATGCCAACAAAAGACCTTAAAAAACAAGGTATAACAAAACAATTTTCACATGATGGGGTGTGAAATAGTGTAACGAAATTGCCTCCAATTATTTATTAGGGCACATTTTGTACCCCATACACTGTATGAAACATCTTCAGTGTCCTTTGGCACAAATAGTACTCCTTACCATGTGACCTTATTAATTTTGGAATGACCCATTATTTGTGCAGTTATAAGTAAATGGAACAGTCCAAGTTGGTTAGCTGAAGATTAGCCTTTTACAGGTTAAGCTCATTTTTGTTTGAAGTGACCAATATTTCTGTGGAATAACCCATTATTTGTGCAGTTATTAGTAAATGGAACAGTCCAAGTTGGTTGGCTATATTATCAGTTTACAAGTTAAGCTCACTATTGTTTGAAGTGACCTATTTCTGTCTCCTTGCTAGGGCCAGAGAGCAAGTTTAATGGTCTTTTGTTTTTGAGTCAAGCTTCTCTGGCCATTCTCTAGCCTGGCATGACTTGAGTCATTAGCTTCATTCCAGGAGGATTTTCTTCAGCCATATGAAACTGTGGTGCAAGTACATGTACATTGTAGTTTCAATAGGGACATTTGTGACTGGGACACGCCCGGAAAACACCCACAGAGTTGTTGGATGTTCTTGCTGTTTCCTTCTGCATGTAAGTCTTGTATTTTCCTTTTTAAACTATGGGTCCAATCCATTCCAGCCATTGCTTTTCTCTTGATTTGTATGTTTTTTGTGCATGTGGCCAGGTTACAGTTTCGGCAGGTCTTTTTCTGGGGGGGAGGGCGTTGCCCGGACTAGGGCTGTTTTGTGTGTTTTTCACATTTAAATTGGCTTACATGTGCAACCAACATACTAGCCCCATAAATGTGGCCTATTTACTGGACTGCCTCCGTAAACATAGGCCACACATCCACATGTACAAAAACGTGTCGCACTTTGCCAAATTTTGATTTTCGCATTTAGGCTTAGTTTGTAGGATTTTTTTGCTTTAGAAGCATACTCACCCTCTTTATAGGCTAATCAGAAAGTGCTGCCTTTTTCAGATGTCTAATTTTTGTGAAATTTCATTTTGAAATTTTGATACGCAAACGTGTGCAAATGAATCTGGAAATTTCACAAAAAATAGACATCTGAAAAAGGCAGCACTTTCTGATTAGCCTATTAAGAGGGTGAGTATGCTTCTAAAGCAAAAAAACCTACAAACTAAGCCTAAATGTGAAAATCAAAATTTGGCAAAGTGCGACACGTTTTTGTACATGTGGATGTGTGGCCTATGTTTACGGAGGTAGTCCAGTAAATAGGCCACGTTTATGGGGCTATGCGCATGCCCCAAGCGTACACATAAGTACTACATCATACCTTTCACATCTTCAATCCCTACCACTTCCGATTCAAACCTCCCTTCCTTGACATGCGTGCACAAGCAGTAATTAAAAAAAAAAAAACATTTCTAAACAGCACCCAAAAACATGGGCGCAGCTTCATTCCCGGCTGATTGCCACTTCCTACGATTATGTCTCTATCTTCTCAGACCCCACGAAGCAATTCGTCGTCAACTTGGCTACATCTATCAATTCCAACGCCGGGTACGTCATAGCTGCCTTACTGGCAGCCATTTTGTTTGTGTTGAGTTTATCGTCTAAACTGAACACCTTCAACAATTTCAGTCTCGTGCCCAACGTCTACACCATGTTTGTACAATGTAGGACCTCCCTCTACCGGAAAGTCTCAGGCGATCAGAATATTCGTGTCATCTCCACTACACCAACTGATACAAGACAAGGAACTGATTTCGTTTATCATCGAACGCACTACACCCTCCAATGTTTTCAAGAAACTTTCCACAGACAAGCAAGGACTTCAAGAAACTTTCCACAAGAACAAGCAAGGGCTTCTACTTTCACCTGAAATTTACGATGTACTCATTCGACTGTGTCTATCAGATGGCACCATCTGTTTTCCGGTGAGGGAGCTTAAATTACCATGGGAACACATCAAGAACGCAAAATCTTACCCGGTACGCCATTTTCCATCTTAGGCTCCACCCAACTACACCCCCAGCAAAAAACTACTGACACTCATGGATGAAGGTCAAGGTTTACTGGACCACTTCTTGCTACTCATACCGCAATAATGCTTCCGGCCGACCCCGGATGAAAGAATACGAGCTAGCCAATATATCTCCAACCAAGCAATATCATCAATGGACGATTTCTTCAGCGCTCTGTACGATCTACATAACACCCCCAAACTTACAATGTCCACAATGATGCTATCAAACTCTTGAAGAAATGGGACACAGAATTCATGACTTTATTTTCATCTTAGGCCATTTTCCATCTTAGGCTCCACCCAACTACAACCCCTAGCACTCATGGACGAAGGACAAGGTTTACTGGACCACTACTCGCACTGAATAATGCTTCCGCCCGACCCCAGATGAAAGAATACCAGCTAGCCAATAGATCTCCAACCAAGCAATATCATCAATCGACGATTTCTTCAGCGCTCTGTACATGTACGATTTACATAACACCCCCTAAACTTACAACTTCCACAACAATGCTATCGAACTCTTGAAGGAATGGGACACAGAATTCATTACTACACAACAAGGCTATCTAGTGTGGTGCTATCCCTCCAAAGTCCAAACCAATTGAAATTGTTCAAGGCATTGCTCTGGCTAAACATATCACAGACAACCTCTTGCAACAGCTACTAGCCAGCAAAGAGCCATCCAAGCCAACGGCTAGCATCGGAAGAGAAACACTTCAGAAAAAGCTTTCCTACTAGTCAACCACTGCGACAAGCGGAACCAAGTCATCATTCAGGTAAATATTTCTTTACTGTATTTGTTATTAATTTTCGGTTCTTACTCTCCCAATGTCAGGCATGACCACCAACTTCAACTCCCCTATTCCATAATAGGATCAAGTAGACTTTTTAGGAATCCTGTATTAAGAATCTTGCTTACTCTTTCCTTGAAGTACTGGACTAGTACTACGCAAAGATGCAATCAGCTGACAAGTCATGAGTATTTGTTTAATTCGCCTGTTCTGTATTTTTGGTTTTTGTATTCTATAGATATTTTTGGCTTGGCATCCGTCAGTTTCCGTTGAGTGATTTACAATTTCAGGTTATATTTCCGTTTGTTTTAAATTCACTGCACTTAATGTTCATTTGGGACTTTGTTCAAATCTGCACAAGGGTACATACTTTCATTAACAACAAAAACAAACAAAATATAAATGTTAACTTTTGTGTGATGAGTTTCAGTACCACGTATCTTGAAGCTCTTCCCAGAGCTTCGAGATTGTTGCTAGTTTTGATTGTCCTCTAGCCAATCTGTATGGGAGGTTATTGTGAAAATAATATTTGAAAATATTGTCGGCTATAGCAAAATTCTGTGCTGGGCAGCTCCATGAATTTGGCTCCCTGCTGTCTGAAAGTCGACGGTACAGTCAAGAGAACAGTAGCAGCAATACCGGTAGCAGCAGCATGTAATGTACTGTTTTGACTCCCTTATGAATCTTAACTTTTTTTATGTTGCTTGGGCAGTTTCAGGGGGAAAACGGAAAAAGGAGGCATTTGGTTTGATAAAGACACACTTCTGA